CAAGACCCGCTAGCAAGGCGACGTCCTGTCCCCTCGCTGCGGCAACTCGACGGTAAACTTCTCCGATGAGCCTATGCCCCATCGGAGCCTCAACTCCACAAGGAAAGTCGGGACTGTCCGACTCGACTAACAATCGGTCCGTAGGAATAGCTCCGACTCCTGACAACTGGGTCGCGGACATATCCGCGATCTGACCTCCTACCCCAAAGAACACGGGTCTGCCAGATTCAACCCAGAGCTTCACCTGCTCGGGTCCACCAGTAAAACCACGTATAAAGATAGGCACCAGGATAGGAACGAACATCCCGTCCATCAATGTAAGACAATCTTGTGTAGGGACGCGGCCCAAAGGGTCGTCCGCAGTTCCCTTCACAGCCAAAATCATCCCGGTACTGAATGTTGCCTGGCGGAAGAATTCCGCCAGAACACACCTCTGACACCTCTGGGTGGCTGGACTGGAATAGTCCAGTCTAATCTCCCCCACTACGTAGTTCTTACTCCTACAAACTCCCACCACGCGGGCCACATCTGCCTGCAAAACAAAGTCCGCAGACTCAGGAGAAATCCCCTGAGCCACAACCCACTGTGGATTGCCTAAGTCCGAGAGGGGCTCCTCTCGGAAACCGTATGTCACACAACCTCCAACCAGCTCCACTCTCACGTCAACGGGGCGCTGGTCTTCACTCAATAATTCCCCCCAGTCTGTCCCCTACAACCCGGGATCCTCCTGGGAAACCATAAACAACAACTTGGACCAACGGAACCTGGGGGTCCGCGGCGCTCCTCCGCTGGCGCCTTCCTCCGGCGGAACTACAACAACTGAGGGTTGCGGACTCTCCGCTACAACGGTCGTAGTCACCAAGCTCTCCCTAGAGTAGGGAGGCTGTCCGGCACAAGAACCACCTCACTGACCAATGATTCAGGCAACAACTCGTCTTCCCACGACTCCGCTACGTTAGAGCGAGACCGCTCTAAGTAGTTCCACGTCCCCATCAGATCAGCTCCATTTAGCAAAATGGCTATAACTCTGGGATGTATTAGCATTGCCACGTGAAGCAATTCCCCCTTCCGCACTCTGCGGATTTCCGGCTCCAAAGGCGGCATATTACCAAAATGCGCAGAGAATCGGATCATCAGGTCTCTAATACAGGCCGAAAACCCCCACTCAACTCTCCCCATCCGCCTCACTACCCAGAGGCGGAGCTGTCCCAGCAATCGAAATCGCTGGCTCCCTCAGGGGATACCCTGAGCAATCGGGCTAACTCAAGCAGAAATTCAAGGAGTACTTTAGGATCGTCAACCCCCCTAGTGTGGTATTCCCAAATGTGAGCTAACATCGGGGTGGCCCCCGAGAACTTCATCCCGCATGCGTGAACCGCACATCTGCGGGTACCAACCTTAACCTTGCATGATTAGATAACAACCCCGCACGCCCGACTCCCTGGGGTCGGTGTGCGCTGGCTTCCTGCGACCTCGCAGGCTCCTGCTCTCCAAGACTCAGCTCTGCCATCTCCGCCCAAGAGCGCCCCAGCTGAACAGGCTCTCCTCGCCCAGCTGGCGGCAAAGGGAGTGCTGCATCTAGGATCCCTGTAATAATCCCCCGACCTCTGGGCTCTTCGAGGTTCCCTTCCGGCACTTCAGCATCACTCGCCGGTGCGGCCACTTCCGAGTCCGCATCGCTGCGTTCCCGCATCTCTTCTTCGGCGGAGCTTCCGCCCTCAAACACAAACTCATCAACTTCCTTAGACATCACTTATGAACCTACAAAGACAGGTAATATTATCAAACCTATGTCTAACTTACTAATTCATGTACAAGTCTACCCTAACCTGATGTAAACCCAACTGTGACTTGCACATGCTTCCGCATCATTGTTTAAACCTAACTGCTCTACCTAGCCAGTGTCGACTCCGACGGGACTGCATTCGGGGCAGATATATTGAGGTACAGATTTAGCATAATCCTCACTTATACCTACACACCCTGGATGAAACCAGTCCCTACAGTTGTCGCACTGCACCATCATCCCCTTGGGATCAGACTGTAAGCAGACACAATGTTTCCTGGTTTTAGTCTCCCTAGTGGCTCTAGGTCTCTTGGGCGATTGAGGTTGTTTAGAGTGATCTTGTCTTTCCCTGACCCGTTTGCGAGTACCCATATACGGACCTACTGACTCCGTTGGCTTGGGGCTAACTTTTGAGTGACCCCCACTCCCCGGGCTCTCAGGACTTAATCCTGAGTCCGCGGTCCCCAGCGGTACAACCACGTCATGTATAGGAGAACTATCCCCATCTCGGGCTACTGACTGTCCGGGAAACTTATTCTTGTAGTTAATTAACCATTTGGGGAGTTGCCTGGACTCGCACCTTTTAAGCTTGTCATGGTGCATAACCTTGACCTCGCGCCGAGATTTGACAACAAATATTGTGTCCGATTTAACTTCGATTATTATCCCAGGACCCTCCATACTGACTCTACCTTTTTTTTCCCGCATTGCGGCGCCAGTAAACCAAATCTCCGACCTTGAACTTGCTGGTACGGACCTTAATGTCATGCGACCTTTTCAATGCCTTCTGCGAGACTTTTAGTTTTCCGCGGGCAATGTCGTGCGCGTTTTGAACATTTTCTTCTAGGTCACGTACATATCTGTCGACCTCACCCTCCTCCCCATTTTGTAAAGACGTGGAAGGTGGTGGGGCGAACATCAAGGTTGCTGGTATATTTACTTCTCTACCCAGCATGAGTCGATTTGGAGTATACCCAGTATGGCGGTTTACCGCGGACCGCATCGCTCCAGCTAATGGGCCTAGGTACTTATCCCATGACTTGGGCTGGCCATCTACGTAGCAACGAAACGCGTCCATTAGAGTGCGGTTATGGCGCTCTACCTGGCCATTCCCTGACGGACGGTAGGGTGTTGTCCTGGCTTTGTGTATCTCTAACATGGCGCAAATCTTACAGAACAGCTCGCTCTCGAAATTACGGCCCTGATTTGTGAAGATTTCGTAAGGATAGCCAAATCTAGAAACGAAGTCATTGATAGCGGAACGGGCGGTAACTTCCGCTGTCTGAGACGGAAGCGGAATACACTCTACCCACTTGGTAAAGTTATCTACCATCATAAGTATGTATTCGTTCGGGGAAGCGGCCCGAGAAAGTCTAAATGTACCCTTTCCATCGGGCTTCCGGCTTGGTAGCTCTTGAGCTCGGATCTGTTCGGCAACGAACCTCGCTTATTCCTCGCAAGTCTTGACATATAACTTAATGTCCTTTGTCATGCGCCACCAGTAGAACTGTTTAAGGCGTTCTTTAGTTCTCTGGATTCCCTGGTGACCAGAGGACGGTATGTCGTGACATAAGTGCATGATCTCGGATCGGAGACTCCGCGGCACTAATAGCCGACGGGGCGCATCCGAGTCATCGGGTTCTCGCCAAACCACACCTGACTCATCGAGATAGAAACAATCTCGCTCCAGAAGATATCACTTCTCTTCCGGACTACAGATAATTAAGTCACTTTCGGTAGGTAAAGTCCCAGACTCTAAGTACTGTCTCAGGTATACTATAGCTTTGTCATTTCTCTGTTTCTGAGCTAAATCTGCGGAACTGTAGGGAGATAGCGAGATTCCCGCAGTGTCACCTGTTAACTGACAAACTTGGGATTTAAACTCGACACTCCACTGACATTAATCTGAAAACTGGGTAGTGTAGAAGCACTCGCAGTCGAGGGAGTATCTTCCCTAGAACTAGAAACAATGGCCTGTCGGAGAGTGGGATCTAACGAATCACAGTTACCCCCCTCAGCGGACAGACTTTCCGCTGACACAGGCGTTTCGTCAAAGAGTTGGGACAAAGAATTACATCGTCTATTTCAGTATTAAACTCATGCCAGCGCTCGTGGGCTCGGCGGCAATAACGGCATCCGCCGCAGGGCAAGTCTTCGACCCTAATTCTCGTCGAGTACCCCTGGCATGAATCGGGTATGTCCCAGGACAGAGCGTCGGCATTTACATGCTTCTTTCCCGGGCGGTGTACGATCCGCATATTGTACTGGCTCAGATCTTCGAGCCATCGAGCGATCTGGTTCTGCGGATGCTTGAAGTTCATTAGCCAGACCAGGCTATGGTGATCGGTCCTGACCGTGAACTCGCGACCCAGCAGGTAGTGGCGGAATTGTCTGGTAAACTTAATAACCGCCAATAGCTCCTTACGAGTAGTACAATACCTGCGCTGTTCTGCGGATAGCACAGCACTCCCATACCCTATTGTTCTTTCTTTCCCACCCTGGACTTGGCTTAATTCCCCGCCTACGGCATAATCCGAGGCGTCAGTGTCCAGGATGAAATGGCCTGTACTGTTCGGTATCGCTAGAACTGGAGGATTGGTCATTAACTGCATGAGTTCCTCGAAAGCATTATGCTGCTCTTCGCCCCACCGGAAACCACCTTTTCCGGTAACCGCATATAGCGGAGCCGCGATTCTGGAGAAGTGAAGGATAAAACTACGGTGATAATTGGCGAAGCCAAGAAAGCGCTCTACGCCCTTAACATCACGCGGAACTTGCCAGTCACGCACTGAATCAATGTACTGATCCCCCATCTCAACTCCGTGCTCGCTCACGGTTCTACCAAGGAACTCGACCTTAGTCTTAAACAGCTCGCATTTCCGAGGCTTGAATATAAGACCATACGCTCGGAATCGCTCAAACGCTTGTCGTAGGTTATCAAGGTGAGCCTGCGCCGAAGATCCTAGGACTAATACCAAATTGATAGCTCGAGCGAAGGTCGCTGGGGCATTGCATAAACCGAACCCCATTCTAGTAAATTCCAATAAGCCGTACTTTGTTATAAAGGCATTCTTTTTCCGGTTTTCCTGAGCTATCTTAACTTGCCAATAAGCCGCGTTAGCGTCAAGCTTGGAGAACCAGCGGTTTCCCACTAACGTGTCCATGCACTCCTCGATGAGTGGCAGAGGGTACGTGTCCTTGACTGTCACCTTATTCAGGGCTCTATAATCCACGCACCAACGGACGCTGCCATCCTTCTTCCGGACGCCCAGTCTGATGAAGATGGCTGAATAACTCCGGCTTTTAACATCTTATCGAGATGAACCTCTTCCTCCCCTTGAAAAACAGCGGGGGTGCGTCGCATCCGGTGCTTGACGGGAGACGCGTTACCGGTGTCTGTTCGGTGTTCGATCTCGGAAAAACTTCCGAGATCAAGGTCATCAGTAGCAAAGACGTCGGCAATTTTTTTGACTAGCTCCGCTGCCTGAGATCTGACTTCCACAGGCGCGGTCTTGTGTAACTGCTCTAAGAGTGGGGCGATATGGTCATAAGTCTTGTCTCCCTCAAATGTTATACGACGCACTGTGGGCTTAGTATCATTGACTAGATCGGCGGGGACTGCTTTCCCCACCTTAGTGCCTGTCGTAACAATATGACTTCGGTCCGTCAAGTTCAAGATGCACAGCTTGGCTCTTTTTCCTGCAGCGTTGTATGTCCGCGAGGCTACTATACCAGGCGGAAATATGCTAGCTGGTTCCAGCATAAACTCTGGCATATCGGAACTAAGGGTACCCTTGATGATTTGAGCAGTGTGCGGGGGGATCCGCACTCTGCGGACTGAAACCGCATCGAGTACTGGTGCTGACTCATCAACACTCATAGCAAATGTAGTGTCAGTGCCCTTGACCCTTAAAGTACCGGCTTCACATGAAATTTCTACACCATGCTTGCGCAGGAAATCTATTCCCAAGAGCATATCATCCTGCAGAGGACCAACATAGATCGGGTGAGCAAAATCATAATCCCCGATACGTATGTTAAGACTCCCGAGGTACTGAGCAGTCATACCAGCTCCCTCGCCAGCTAGCCTAACATTAGTATCGCTTACCACTTCAGGCTGCGGCCTCAAAAGACTTATAAACTTCGCTTGATATTATGGTTATTTCGGCTGCTGTGTCGATGGTTGCTTTCACTTGTTCGCCTCCCACTCTTATAGGAATACGCCACGCTCCTGAACCAATGGCTTGACTACCGGACCTAACAGACGGAATTACATAGGTCGCGTTCACATTCGGTTGATAGAACTTGACTTGTCTCATCACCTGACGCACTAGGTTAGTCTTTAGTTTTACTACTCGTCGACTTAAGACAAGGCTTAGGGGTCCCCGATCTACGCCAACGCTGGCGGATCGGGCAGTCGCGAGGCAAGTGCCCTGGCTCTTGGCATTCAAAACATTTAATAGGTCTCAGCGCACGAGAACGCCCCCTATTCGGTGACGGATCCCTCGAGGACCCTCGCTCGGGACTTGATCCTCGGGTGCTGTCCTCCGAGTCGCTGGAGTAGTATTTCTTACCCGAGTCCCAATCTGGCGACTCGGAACGGTCCCTGCTGGCACGATCATAGGAACGGTCCCTGCTGGCACGATTAGGACGGTCCCTTGACTCCGAACTCTCTCTTCGTGCCACATAAAGATCTTGACACTCAGAATCTGATCTGGCCCGATAATAACCCAGATTTGGCGACTGACTCCGGTCATTTTGACGGTCTCTAGATAGGGATCTTACCGCTCTCGGCCTGCGGGCTAAAGCTCTGCGACTAAGCTGATAAGTTTTGACTCTCTTAATCGCTTCTTCTAGAGTCCCCGGGGGATTATTAATTAACTGCTGCCCCGCCTCGCCGTCATTACACCCCAGAGCAAAACGAACGACTATTTGCTCTTGGAAAACCTCTGGCGAAGTACCGCCACCAATTGCTTTCTGGGCAGTGTCCATTACTCGGTCCCCCCATTGCTCTATAGCTTCGTCCGCTCGCTGGCAGATAGAATTAAATTCCAGCTGTGAGGCGGCTCTGAGGGAAGTTTTACCGAATCTGTCCTTCATCCGGAGATGACCTCTCGGAAACTTAACAGCGTGCCTCGTCGTCTGAGGATATCAAAGTACTTAAGAGCTGCCCCCTCTAGTGTGAGACTTAGAGCAAACAGAGAGTCGGGATCGCTCTACTGATGATATTCGGCGATGGTGGAGAACTTGGCATAGAACGGACCCCATTCAACATCCCCGTTATATCTTACCCCTTTGACCTCGGCCGGAATATTCTTACCGACACAGCTAAGGGTACCAGCGGGAAGTAAACTTCGCAATTGACTCTGGCTCGCGGTGTTCATTAGCGAATGACCCTGTCCTGCATTATGCAAACCCCCATAACTAGGTACAAACGACGGACTACCCCCTAATGTAATTGACTCCCCAACCAACCTACCATAGTGGCCAGCGCCTTGACCACTCGAGTTAGCAACACTAGGATGCGCGGACGCTAAGGGCAATGTCGCGGAAGTACCCACTCGGGTGCACCATGCAACCTTACCCGGGCCCGGTGGGCCCGTGCTTGGAAGCACTGGGTAATCGCCCCCCCTGACGCGAATGAACCCAAAGTAATAGTACTCGGAAGTCCCGAGGCTAAACTGTCATTGCCAAATGATAATAGAGAATGACCTTGAGACATGTTTACAGTGTCCCCCCACCGAGACAGGTACAGGCTTTCCGCTATGTGCGGTCACTACTGGGGTCACTGCAGGCATCTGATGTCCTGGTAGTGCGCTAGGGACCCAAGGACTCCCCTGGCTACTAGTCACTACAGGCGGACTGACTTTAATATCCTGCATGGGCGGGGGTGACTGAGGCTGACTGGCCTTCATTAATCCAGCCAACATTTGCGTAATATTACTTAATTGGCCCCCCATATTCGTCTCCATAGACCCAATGTCGGATCCCATAGACCCCAGATGCGCTGACACACTACTGACACTAGTCCCAAGGGCATCAATATCCCCTCTCAGGGCCCCCATATCCTGACCTAGGGTATCCACCCTTTTAAGTACTGTACCAAGGTCACCTTGAATCTGACCCATTTCCCCACGGATTCGGTCAACCGCTCCCTCCAGTATATGCTGTCGTTCCTGGAGGAGGGAATAGAACGCGGACCATCCGGGTGTTTCACCTGGACCCTCTGAAATTGCTCCCTAAGTGAGTGACATGTCCCCCTCCCCATACTGAGTGATATTATCCGGGGCACTCCCCCCTGGGGCATCGGTGTACTAGCAACACCTGGGACGAACTTAACACTCGTAGCAGGCGGGACTTTCCCTGGACTGCACTCTAACGGGGTACCTATCAGACCAATCCGATCTCCTCCCCCTCCGCGAGCGTACCAGCCCCCTTCGGGTCTCAAAGTCCCCCTACCCAGACCAAACGAACTAATCTCACTAAAGTGATTTCCTAATAGTAGTATGAACAACTAAATCACTTTAGGTAAAAATATGTATTAATTGGAAACAAAAGATTAGATTATACAACAAAATCAAGGAGCTCTCACAGCATGGCCTGTACCCAGCTTGGCGGAAACGCGGGAAGAGAGAGAGATATGGGCTCCCGAGCCCGAACCCAATTACAAATTAAAAATACCCCCCAAATACACTACATTCCCCCCCATTTTGTGGAGGAATGTCCCAATTCCAACCAAGTGGAGGCCATTTATAATATATATATAATCACAAAACACTTTTGCACGAAAAATGATAATTAACCTTCTGTGATGTACAATATACAAGCTAATTACATGATTAAATATTCACAAAATATCTTTCAATCATTAACTGTCCAAATTATGATCACGATTGGCTCTACAAACAGAAACAGTTCACCACAGTTCTTCCTGGCCATCGGCTACTGGCGGTATTGGCGAACACGCCAGCCTGGATCCTCCCTGGACACAGAACATCTGACATCTGGACAAGAACATGAACTGAAAGATAACTGTATATGAGTCGTCTGATTAGCCCCACTCAATGAGCAAGGGGCACGAACCTTCTCCTTAATCTGGTGCAGTCATTTCCCCCAGACCCGCACAATTACACTTTGGTGCTTTGCGTCTCTTATGCCCCTGGCCTGCCAAGGCCTGGGTTCTGATCAGAGGCTCTGACATGTTCTTACCACTCCCTGTAAGTCGTTCTGGGCACTAACGACGGAAATGCCCAGGCTGATGGCATTTAGAGCAACGACCTCTCCGGTGCTTTTGCTTGCGTTGCCAGGGGAAATCCTGTCCCCTGCCTTGGGGTCCCTTTGGTCATGCCTACATCCTGACTTGACACCAGAATTTTCCCTCCGTGGCTTCCAATTTCTGGTCTCCAAGGATCCCATACATGGAGCTTGTGGGGGAGACTTTATCTCCATGCCTGACGGTGTACTACCTAATGAGACAGAGCGCACTGCTCTGTGCTGAGGAGTAAGGGCTTGACGGCTTAGCTGGTAAGTCTTTACTCGTCTCACAGCCTCATCCAAATTAACAGGGGGGCTATCGATAAGCCGTCTGCCTGCGCGCACATCCAGACAGCCCATCGCAAACCGCAGGACTGCTTGCTCCTGGAGCACTTGTCCCGGGACCCTTGCCCCTAGAGCACATTGCGCGGTTTCCATAACCCTGTCACCCCACTGCTCAAGACTCTCATTAGGCCCTTGAGCAATGGAGTTAAACTCCACTTGCGACGCTGCCTGCAATGCACCCTTTCCGAACCGTTGCTCGAATCCAGATGCTATCTCCTGAAAAGTCATATGCTCACCCCATGAGGAGAGCAGGTAGAAATACCTTAGTGCTGGTCCTTCGACGGAGACACTGAGAGCCAATAGACTATCATCATCATCCCACCTATAATATCGAGCTAACGTTCTAAATTTCTCATAGAATAGACCCCACTCAAGGTCACCAGTGTACCTGAGACTCTTGGCCTCAGCTGGGATATTTCGGCCCGACCTTGAGGAATCACTGGGAGATGACCCCTGGAGTCTTACAGGAGTCTCAAGAGAAGTATTTTCCTTACCGCATGATGCACCTGAAATATAACTATCTATTGGCCTAAACTCCAGAGCTGAACTCGCCACACTGACACCTGGCACAGCCTCCGTGCCTGTCTGACCCCTAACACACATCTGCCCCGATGCAGAACATGAGTGACTCAGAGTCCCGGGGGATTCACTATTTGTATTTTCATATGCCTCCCAAGGCATAGCGTAATCGGACTTAACCGGAGTTAATGGAACTTGAAAACTAGAGAGGGGCTCCCCCCAGGACACTGCCCCCTTACTGGTGAGATTGAGTCCTCATGATTGAGGGATGACTACCCCCATTCCCCTGACCAACACTCTGGCCGGGGGAAACTCTCAATGGGTTACCGCTATACCCACCTGAAAACAAGACTCTACACTGCCCCTCATTATTCCTCTGCCTAGGTTGACCCCCATGTGAGAAGACTACATTAGTGCTTGTACATGTAACCTGGGTGCTGCTGGGTACACTAGTTACATAAGTCAAACCACCTGGCCCGGGGTTCCCTGTGGGGCTACTCAATGAGGTTACATTGTGCCTACTCACTGCAGTGTTCCTGTTTTTCTCCCCTACATTCGATTCCAGGGAGTGGTTACCCCCTGACTTCCCTACCAGGATCTGGGTCAGTTGGGCTAATTGGGTCTGAACTCCCTTTAACCATGCCAGGACCTGATCATTGCTCGGAGTAACCCCCGAGCTCTGATGTGGTCCACCCCCAGCTGTCCCAATGTCAGTGGCTGTATTCATACCCTGCCTATCATTAGTCTCCAGGGTAAGGGACATGTCTACCTCCCCAACCACAGTATTATTCTCACCCCCTCTACTGCCCGAAGTGCCAAATACTGGTGGTCTGAACGGAGTTAACCCAGATATTTGGTCTGCCCAACCCGATTGAGAGCCATCCCGTGCATTTGCATTATGCCCCTGGGCCCATGCCAAACCAGCCGGCCTAGCTACCTTGCCCCCCAGGACACCCATGCCACTCATGCGCTCGGGACTCTCCTTTACCTGACCAAATAACCTTTTCTTCTCACTCATACTAGTAACTCCGCATTGAGACTAACAGACAACAGACTAATGTTTCGACTGACCTAATGCCCTAAAACACTAATACATCAGAAAATCATTACAACTCAAACAGAAAAATCGATTCACAATAATACATACTCCAATCACTGATTTCTAACAGATTTCATAATCCAAAACCCTATTCCATACACCGCCGAAATAATTAAAACAAAATCACCTGCACGTGGCCTGACCACGCGGAGTCCCCTACGCTCCGCTTCGGTCTCGTAATCCTGCCGACAACGCCAATAAATTGATTTCCTAATAGTAGTATGAACAACTAAATCACTTTAGTTAAAAATATGTATCAACTGGAAACAAAAGATAAGATTATACAACAAAATCAAGGAGCTCTCACAGCATGGCCTGTACCCAGCTTGGCGGAAACGCGGGAAGAGAGAGAGATATGGGCTCCCGAGCCCGAACCCAATTACAAATTAAAAATACCCCCCAAATACACTACATCACGGTCCATTATACACCTCAAACCACAAGATAAATTTACTGAATGCACATAAAAATACCTCAAGGCTAATCCACTGTAAGTATAAAACAATTGAATAAACCAAATGCACAAAGACTTTAACCTTATAAAGTTACATTACATAATAAAAAGGTACACAAAAATCCAACATGGCGACAGCACTAGCTAACACGTGCTAGGCCGGCACCAAGCTGCCCAGACAAAAAAAAACCTGGATCACAGCGTCAATATAGCATTTCTCTATATAATAATTACTGTGATGGCGAAATAGAGACAACACTATGGTTATATAAAATCCGCACTTTAGCCAGCGGTCACCAATAATACAACAATATCACAGTGATTTACACACAATAGATAAACACGTCCTGTCAGGACTGCATTCAACACAAGAGAGAGAGAGTGTTACGTCACAGTCCGCATCACTGCAGGACACGTGATCGGAGGCCACAGGGGAATTCGTCCCCAGCTCCCCCAGGACCACCACATAGGCTAATTTTTACCATTTTGCTTTTCCTGATAAAATTCACCTTGCTTGTAATACTTTTCTAAAGTTTATTTTACACTTTTAACACCAGTTTAACATATTCTAAAATTTGTTTTCATCTGTAAACCTTTAGTTAGTATGTTTTGTCCATATTTTTAATTATATTAAAATATCACTGATATTTTCCAAGTCTATTTCATTTTCCAGTTCTTTACAGAAATAAATTCAAGGAGTTATCCACTTTTCTGAACTTGTGATATGATATTAAGTATCCTCCAAAGAAAAAAAAATGTTTTTATCATCTGTCCTTAATATATATTTGCCATATATATATGGTAGTCTGATCTTCAGGTTTATAAAATTAGCAGTTAAGTAATCCAAAATCCTGAAAAAGTATCTCTGAATCAACAAAGTTGTGTTAATTTATCCACAGTATTCTTTTTAAGATTAAAGTTAGTCATTATATAGGGAAAATTGTCAAATCTCCAATATATTTGCAGAAAAAGCGAATTGGAATATCAGCAATGCATTTTCAAATTGCAAATTGATCAGCAAATATATGTAATAGCTACATGATGACACGAGATGATGCATACAAAATATCGATGAGTTATTGCACGCGAGGAGGCGTTACCCTCCGAGTTTGCAATAACGAAACGATATTTTGTATGCATCATCGAGCTGTCAATCATCTAACTGATTTATCCCATGACCCTTCATTTGACCTTTTCCCATATTTGGTATTTTCTTTGCATCAACTAATAAAGACTCTGAAACAGAACCACGTGATAGTCTTAACGCGAAGGGTTTTTGGTATCCAAGTAACGGATTTACAAATTTGGTAATTTTCATCGGATTGGGCTAGGACGTTATAAATTTCGATTTACAGAATTGGTATTTGGGATCGTTTCCGGAACTGAATCGGGAAAATGTTACGGAATGGACTGAAAATACTAGATTCGGAAAACATGTGTCGGCCATTGAAATAAGTGCGTTTAAAAAAATCAAGAAAGTAAAACCACGAGCCGTAACACTTCATGGGCGGTCAACATGGTTCAAGTGTTCAACGACTGGAAATCTCAACGAAACAGCAACTTGGTGAGTTTAAAGGGGCATGGACACAATTTCAACTGAATTATTTAAACCAATTTTAATATTTATAATTCCTACATAAGGCATCATCTATTAATTAGCAAAATTTTGAACATCATTTTTTGATTAGAAAACAAGATACAGAACTTAAAGTTCTTCATAATGTAAACAAGGCTTGTGCCTTGTTTTTGTTTACATATATATACATGTATATGTATAGAAAATATCTTTATTTATAACAAAATGAGATCCAGGATCCTCTTGTATCAGGGCAACTGACATTCAAGTTTTTGATGATCATTAGAAAGAACATCATTAAATATTTGTAAAAATGGAAAAATAAATTTTGAAATTTTAGCTGAAACTGTGTCTATGCCCCTTTAAAATCATTCTCGAAATACTCACTAGTAAATACCAAGAACTTGCGTACTTTATATATCACGTTTTTTACACTGTAATTGAAGCCAGGGGCGCATATGGATTCCCCTACCCCCGAGGACTTTATATCCGATATTCTACGGTACATGAGAGCAAGGTGTTCATGATATGAACTTCTCAGAGGATGCCTGGAAGGAAAATGCTACTACTGATTGTGCGAATTCCTATCATGGGAGATGAAGTTATCCGCTTCGAGAATTATGCTCCGCCAGACCGTGTCAATGTCTTTTTTGTAAAGATTTAAGCATTTTGATTTAAACTGTGTTATCTGTTTTGGTATTTTTCCCTCTTGTTTTTGTTAGTTCATTAAAATCTAGAAACGAATTTTTGTCTCATTTGCATAGCTCCTCCTACATCCAGGGTATAACAGTTGGATATCACTAGCTTTATATCACATATGTGATATTTAATATATCACCACACTTATGTTGATATGAGAAATACACCCTTGCGAAGATCAAAGAAAAATTTGTCGGTCATGGGATAATTAAGGTTAAAAAGCGATAGGTATCAAGGCATTCAGAGATATTTTCATGACATTTATACTTATTTGTTATTTTTTGTCTTCTATTACCGTCATATACTCTATAATACATAGTGTAAAAGGCTTTTGCTATCATTGCAAGACATCACAAATCCCAATTTATTTCATATCATGCTTATAAGGTTTGGTATTAAAGGCTGGGTTAAGGAAATCTTATTTCTCTAAAACTGTATTAATTTTTATCCTTTTATAGGGTACAACATTTATAAGACATTTTCTAAGACTTCCAAAAACCTTGAATCTTATAATGATGAATAAAATGAAAATTGTTGCATGAACAAATTAAAATCTACATTTTGATGCATTTAAAATTAAATCTTAAGTTTTGGAGTTATCCTTTCTGGCTGAGGATCGGATATCCTTAAACCCTTTGTAATAATTCAAAATGATTTTTCAATACGAAATGAACGCTTACTCATATTTTGGTTCGATCTACAGAATGCAGCACTGGTTGGTATGGAAGAGACTGTTCTCAGAGATGCAGTAGTAACTGTTATACACCAAGCATGTGTGACCACGTTACTGGATCTTGTGTTGGAGGATGCGCTGCTGGATGGATAAACGACACATGTGACACAGGTTTGTGTTATAAAGTGGTATTCTTCTGGTCAGAGACTAGATAAGCTTATGATAGTAAAGTGTCCATCCGTCTGTCTGTAAACATTTTTTTTCCAAATGCTACTCCTCTAACGTTTTGGTCTGATTTTAGTGTAACTTGGCACACAAGTAGTCTACCGTTTTTACATTTTCTTTAAATTCCGATTAATGGTGTTGCCCTGGTGGCTAAAAATAGAAATTTCTGTGAAATACTTTAAAAATGCTACCTAGTACAGTTTTGGTCTGATTTCAATAAAACTTACCACAAGTAGTCGACACTAAGATACACAATGCTGTGTATCCATTTCAGATTTCACTGAATGGTGTTACTTTGGTTACTAAAAATACTTAAGAATTTTCAAGTCCCGACTGCTACTTTTCTCTTCCTTTTTTGCTCCGTGGGGATCCAGGTTAGAATAGGTCCTCAGTACCCCCTTGTTTGTCGTAAAAGGCGACTAAATGGGGCGGTCCTTCGGATGAGACCGTATAAACCGAGGCCCCGTGTCACAGCAGGTATGGCACGATAAAGATCCCTCCCTGCTCAAAGGCCGTAAGTGCGGAGCATAGGCCTAATTTTGCAGCCCTTCTCCGGCAATGGTGACGTCTCCATATCAGTGAAATATTCTGGAGAGGGACAAAAAAGTGCGCTCGATACTTAATTAATTCTTCCAAATTCTTACCTCAATTGCAAAAAATGGAAGGTTTCAAAAATTTCCTCTCTCCTCTATCAAGTTCTCTCGTAGTTGACATTTGAACGAAGCATATTGGACCGAATTATCTTTGAAACCAAAATGGCAGTATACATAAGCGAAATGTTCGATGATTGCAATATCAGGGCCAGGAGGACTATTAACAACAATTATGAAGAATGTTTTGTTGTGGAAAGAGTCAAAGAATATGTTAAGAACACACAGTTAGTAATATTTTGAGATTACAGTTTTAAAAACATGGAGAAATAAATCGAGAACCGAGCGCATTTTTTTGTGCGCAATAAATATAGTTTTTTCAATGGGTGGCTCTGTAGCTCTCCGGTCTATCAATATATATTTTTTCGGAGAACTACAGATCTGCAGCTAAATTTTTTCATGAATTCTATTTTCTTTAAAAGGAATGATTTGCAATTTATTTTTTTAGGATATTTTTGAAATCAGATGAAAATAGGTTAAAAAATTATCAGTTTCAAGTACATCTTTAAACTTACTGAAACATTTGATATTTCCTTTTCTAACACTAGGTCATTCAGGTTCTTAACACCTTTTTCAACCAATGTTGTATAAAATTTCCACTTTTTGACATCCACAAAATTTCATATATCTAAATACAGATTATCTAATACATGTTCAGGACAGTTTCGCTTTACATAAAAAAATGAAATCAACATTTATGAGTTTGAAAATACATTGTAGCAAATGTTACCATGCACCTTCATTTTTGGTCAGATACACTATTTACCAATTTTAACTTGATATATGAAATGAAAGATGGTAAGTGTAGCATATTTAAAACTAGCTGCAGATCTGTAGCGTTATGGTTTTATATAGTTGTCTTTGACCATTACTACAGATCATGTAATGCAAAAAAGGTGCAATTTACGGCGCAATATTTTTTGCGCGCTTTTGGGGAGAATTTCTCCACTTTCAAGCATTGGTTAATCAACTACCTTTCACTCCCTAATTCTAGACACATTCTGTAGCCAATATGTATATTTTATACACCTCGCAACCATTTTTAGTTGTCTCTACAGGCAATAAAGTCGCTAGATGTGAATTTTCAGCAATATAACAATTTTAATCAAGCGAGTTTATCACTTGTAGAGACGAGTTTGCCAATTTTCTAATATGGTTATCCACAAGTGAACATTCTTGCTGCCATCATATTTCTAAAGGTAAATTTCTGAGGCCATTTTTTCCCCTGTTCGTTTGAATTAACCAATTGTGTCGAAATATTGACAGCTTGATACATGTATATGTCTGCAGCAGATAATGATGCTTCCTCGGATTATGGCCGAAGAAGAGAGGGATAATCGTAAAAAAAATAAAAGCAAATAAAATACATATTTTTAAATTTCCTCTCACTTATTCAATGATAAATAAAATGGAATTTCGCCTTGCTAAAAAATGTATGATTATATACCAAACTTTTTGACTTGGTTTTAAATAAGTGTAAATTATTCTTTGGAATTTAAAGAGAGGACGAAATGAATATTCTCTAAGATGCCAAATGAAAATATATTATATCTGAAAAAAATAAAAATTGTTCAAATTAATACTAAATTAGATTTATTCTAAAAAGACATGAATATGAGAGAGCCAATGAGACCTCATGATATTTCCCATATATAAACCCACAGTAATACATCGGAACGATTTTTCAGTACAAAATAAACGATTTCTCATATTTTGGTTCGATCTTCAGAATGCAGCACCGGTTGGTATGGAAAAGACTGTTCTCAGAGATGCAGTAGTAACTGTATTACACCATTCATGTGTGACCGAGTTACAGGAGCTTGTGTTGGAGGATGCGCTATTGGATGGGTAAACGACACATGTGACACAGGTTTGTGTTAAAGAGTGGTTTTCTTGTGATTTTCTTTTTGCATTACTGATGTCGATAAAACTTTGCATTGTGTTCATAAACATTTTTAATCTTTTTCAGTTGACATGGCATATTGTAAGTTTTGATTTTATGTCTAAACTCACTTTGTAATTGCTTTCTTCAACTTTTGAAATGAAAGTCTTGAATCTTTGTTTTTGTCCTCCTTAACAGGCGTGGATTGGGCGCCATATGATGTATCTGTTGTCTACCACAACCTGACCTGGAGAAGAGAAGAAACAAACAATATAGTCCGATATGACCCTGCTGTGAACCTGATGTGTAGCTTTACCACGAAACCCGACGAAAATTTGTTTTATGACGTTTCTTGGTTCATAGATGGATCAAACGTTTTTAATCAGACTGTTGATGTGTCTAGTAATTACACGGCAGTGCTGTCGGCTTATGATATTCTCGAATTTAACAGGAAAATTGGATCAGATGTATGTTAATTGTAAATGTATTACATCGCAAAAATGTTCTGTTTTGTTAATTGAAGACGTTGTGTCCATATCTATCGGACATTGCTTTTCATTGTTTAATAAGTAGAAGTATGAAAACGTACGATAATGAAAGAAAAAATGTGTAAGACAACTCCAAAACAAACATTCATTCATAGAAGAATAATTTAACTATAAATGCTTGTAACGTACCTTTTTATCGTCTTTTTAAGATACACTGTAATGTTGGAGCAAAACGAATGAAAGTCAACATCCCCTCTTGTCGTACCAAAGTCGGAAATCGATTCTTCGCCGGAATACGGGTATCAATTTTCTCTTAATTTTTTCCCACAATATATCTAAAAGATTACTCCTTTTTGCTCACATGAAACTTGACTGCGAGCAGATATTTTAAAGAAACTTAGAACAAAGCATTGTTAGGTAAAGGAGACCTATTAAATTATTAGGATACAGGAGAAAAGTTCTTTCCAAGGTTTTGATAAAATATAAATTACAAAATTAAGGAAAGTTCATAAAAATACTTTTTTTCAAGAACCAACAGAAGCAATGAAACGCAAGTGAAGGCTCTCTGAGGAAGTGTACAATTAATTTTTTTCAAATCATGGTTTGGGTGAGGGGCACATTATCGAACAAAGGTTTTACATTACAAGGAAATTTCCAAAAAGGTCATAAAAGTATCCTTAAATATTGTAAATTCTATATTCAATCTTTAAATCATTTCACTCGACGAAAGGGTGGGTATACAAATTGGTACAAGGTAAAATAAGGAGGGGGGATGTTACGTTAATATAAGGGCCCAGGTGACTCAGGTGAGCGTTTGTGGCTTAGGGAACTTGTAATCCTTCAAGGCTGAAATCTTTATTCCTGTTACATCTATTTTCAGATAAAAAATCCTAACATAGTGTTGGAAAGAAAAGGGTCGGAGAATATTGAACTGGAAATGACAATACCGTTTGCTTCTGAATCCCTTTTTATAAATGGAGTTCTGCAACCTGTTAGCGACCTCAACATCCACCTGGCTTTCGAAACAGGTGTCTCCTCTACATACGGCGGTGGCGGTTCTTCTAACCACTGCGAGGTCAAAATTAAAAGCTTTGGTTACCACGAGAAACACAAATACGAAAATGGCGAATGGAGACAAAATACCTTCTTTCCAGTCCACAGCCAAGACACTGATGGCTACGTTATTAATAGTCAGATGATCCTGCATTTAAAGACTGGTGGTACTAATGGTGTTGGCAGTAAAATATTTGAACACGTTTCTTTGCCAGATATTTTGGTAAGTCCATGGATTTGGAATTGAAATCAAGATTTTGTCTAACATCAACAGCCCATCGATATACCAAAGTCCAAGCTTTCTAATATCATTGACAGCTGCTTTTTCAATAAAAATTGAACTCATAATATTAGTTACACGGTCACTAACTGACTGTGTAACGAATTTAACCCGCTGGAGACCTTTTTCAATATTGAAAAAAAATTTGGGCATATTATGAATCCGTATTAGGTCACTAACTGACTGTGTTACGACTTTATCCCGCTGAAAGCCCTTTTTCAATAAAAAAAAAATATTTGCGCATATTATGAAAATATTAAGTTTAATCCAATAACAATCAACATATAAAATCGTTACGGTAACAAGAAATTTAACTAAACTACCTACGTAAACCGTTTCTTAGCCGCCATTTTTATTTACAATAACAACGCTTTGAGCGGAATCGCGTGCCCGATTTTCATATTACTCCTCGACGGAGACGTAATACGGAAAATTTAAGGGCGTCATGTGATCAGCCTTTATCCAATCAGCAATCTACAAATTTGTCTGAAGCGGGATAATTTAACTTACACTGTCCTTGGTCATTTGCAAAATTATTTTGTAAAAAAAGGATTCTGATTGCTCACAAAAGTACACTTTGAAGATGACATTAAAAAGATTCCTGAGTTTTTGATTGACAATATCAATGTATTTTTTGGAGAATAGGTCTTCCAACAATCTTTTGGATTTCACAGAGGTACCAATTGCGCCACATTATTAGCAGACGTTTGTATTCACACGAAGCAGAATTTGTCCAAAATATCATGCGTGGAATAAAGAATAAAACACTTGCTGTGACCATCAACTGGACATTTAGAGATATCGACGACGTATCGTCTATTTACAATGGTTATTTCCTTTCTTATGTCGATACGATTAATCCCGATGAGGTTGAGATAAAAGATACCATAGAGTCTGACACATCTGTTTCATATCTAAATATTTTTCTTTTAAACAGAAGTTTATGGTTATTTAACAACCAAGCCTTATGATAAACTTGATAAGTTTTAAAACAGTACGACATTTAACTCTGGACACGACAAAGTCCACACTTTTTACTACCATTTCTAATTATGATATCCAAAATATTTTTTATATCACTTGGTGGGATTTCTTAGCAGTATTCAATATTATTATGTTGGACGTAAGAACATCTTAACTTCTAAAGATATGAAGTTCTAAAACTCAGAATCCTATGGGAGAACAGTGAGATTTTCAGTCCCATAAACTATCCCACCATTCTCCCATGGGAGAAAAAAATGCCAGATGGGATATTTTCTCCTTGGGGATTTTTTTCTCCCGTGAATCTGTTCAAATTTGATAAATCCCACGGATTTTGACAATGAATAATTTTCTCCAATACATTGTTAAAGTTGGAATATATTCTACATATTATGATGAGAAATTTGTCATCGTCATAATGTATGGGATAAATTCCATGTTTCACAATGTATGGGAGAAATTGTTTGCTTGTCAATATCCGTGGGATTTATCCCATCTGAACAAATTGAGGGAGAAAAAATCCTACTAGGAGAAAATATCCCATTTGACATTTTTTCTCCCATTGGACTGAAAATCTCACCATTCTCCCATGGGATTCTGAGTTTTAGAACCTCATATCTTTAGAAGTGGAGATGTTTGTGACCTCAACATAAAACCCTGGGATACTGCTAAGAAATTAAATGCACCAAGTTATATAAAAATATTTTTGATATCAGAATAAGAGATGGTAAGTATAGAATCTGGACTATGTCGTGTCCAGAGTTAAATGTACATGTCGTACTGTTTTTAACTTTCAATCGTCAACTGCCCTTACTTACGCAGCAATATACCTTCATTACCTGCATACGGGGATTAAATTTCTCAGTTAATTCGATACACTAGAGTATGCTTTACTTTTATACAATTTGTAAAAAGAGGTAAATTATTGACAAACAAGTTGATGAAAAAAGAATATCAACAATCTCATTTAAAGTCATCAAGTTCTTTCGTCGACACAATGACCTTGTCAGCAAATACAATTTATCAGCGAGTCAAATTCTGACTGACATTTTTCATACTTATTGTTAGGCCATTATAGATTATTTACTTATTGAATTCACATGACGAAAGACCATCTTTAAACAATCTCTCAATGGTAAATTATTGGTGGCTTATAAAAGCAAATTCCTTTTAGCCACCAATAAGCTGCATCTTCTAGATTCTTATTGTCCAAACTTCATTAAGCAGACATTAAGCAACCTTTAAGCGTTAACTCGACATTAACTTAGGATCCTGATTATTCATGTATACAGACGATATGTAACTTGGAATTTCGGAAGAAATATTGGTAGATACGAGGGTTGTCCCAGAAAAAAAGTTTGTAGAGAATTAACATGTCTGAAAATAACTGTTACATCTTGAAATGCATTATTTAATTGAAAGGCATCAATTATGATACACAAATAAGTTCTACAATATCAGCAACTGAATTGTACTGTAGCCACGTATCCACTTCACATTCTGTACATTTTCTCTTTTTACTTACAAACTTAAGGTACAACTTCTATCATTAAGTAATGGATAAACTTAAGTAAGTTTGAAGATTTAATTTATTTGTAGTTTGTTGACTATTTAAATGAGAGAAAAACGGAGTCAAATATATTGTATTAGTGGATAAATTTTGTCTCAAGACGCAAAAAGTTTGCAATAATCAGGAAAGTACTGATCGGGTTCTTTTTTCATCAAATATACCCATGCGTAAAAGAAATAGGATTAATCAAGGGCTTTTATGCATTTAGCCCAACATTAAGTGTTCTTCTTTGGACATTATAAAATGGTGCTTAATTTGTGCTATATATTCATTTCTAATTTAATTAACATTGTGAATTACATGCCTAAAAACACACTTAGCAACATTGTACAAAGAAAAAAGTATAAATTAGTACTAAACCTTCCTTTAATTTATGATGGAACTGTATTTTCTACAGATTCGTGTACATGATACTAACCAGCTATGGAAAGGACGATCCTGTGGCGTATATGCAGACCCACACATGTATACATTTGATGGAGTGTAAGTTAACCCTAACAAAAAATACTACATTTAATTATAGTTAACTATATAATCAAAGATTTTACTGTAGTAAATCAAAGTAAATGTTTAGTTTTTTTTTTACAATGGATTTCGGAACTATTTAACATCAGTCAGACATCTACGAGGGGTGATCAAAAAGTTCGCGAACTAATTGAATAACTTAATAAATTAAATAAAAGAAACAATATTTGGTTTCAATGTTGATTATGTTTTAAATTAATCCTCCCCGATTTTAATGCACATCAACCACCAATCTGCACATGCGTGAATCACGTGATATTGGCGGTCACGTGACCCCCTCCGTAGCGTTCTGTCAGTCACAAAAGTTGAAAGATTTTTCTGTGTTTTATATTTCTTTCCATGTGCGTTAATTTTTATGGCAAGAACAGTTCATTTGTCAGAAATTGTCATATCTCGGCAACAGAATGGGTGGATAAGAATATCCTTTCCAAAAATAAGCATGGCGACAATTAAAACAAAAATCTTCTGTCTCGGGAGAGACTTTTTTTTCAAGGTGGATAGAGAATGGGTGCCTCCTCTTTATCATATCTAATATGTTTAAAATCTAAAGTAAACGATATCTTAGGTATTTAATAATTATATTATTGTTCAAATATTCAACTATTTTTCAGAGTGTTAATTAGAGGTCTTTGATGGCAAATTGCTTAATTAGAAATACATATCTTTTCAAACTTGCCTTCACTGGGCAAGATGACAAGTATCATTTTTAACCATCAGCCTTCCTTCACTTAAGCGATCAATCCAATCATTAATTGAATTTAAAGGAACTCATTTATCTCCATAAGCTGTGTACAAATTAATTTATGATACTGCAGAGGGATTTCTAAGATATACAATAAATTGTACAGTCGTTTGTAGAACGAGTTCGACTGAGACAACCATTTTTCGTCACAGATGACCTACATAGTGACGTCATTTTCACATTGTGACGTCACAAACAAAGAGAAAAATTTCATTCAGCATATGCTATTTATAGACCTTGTGTATGGCTATGTGTGTACCTAATTTCATTCTAATCTGAATTGTGGTTTTGTAGATATAGAGATAGTTCGCGAACTTTTTTATCACCCCTCGTAGTATGATATTAATATACAAAACCAGAAGTCTCTGTCGAGACTTAAGCTCTACTGGTTTGAACTTATAGCAAAGGAAGAGAAGAGTACTTAAGCAGCTGGGATTTGAAACTTTACAACAGCAATATATAGAATAATGATCGTTGATAAAGTCTCTTTATGTTCTTAGTGTAGTCTACTTGTGTGCCAAGTTATACTGAAATCAGACCAAAACTGTAGGAGGAGTAGCATTTTGAAAGAAATTCACAGAAATTTCTATTTTTAGTGACTACAGCAACACCGTTCATCGAAATTAAAAAACGATACACAGAATTATGTATCTTAGTGTATTCTACTTGTGTGCCAAATTATATTGAAATTAGACACAAACTGTAGGAGGAGTAGAATTTTGAAAGAATTTCACAGAAATCTATTTTTAGTAACCACGGCAACGCCGTTCAATGAAATCAAAAACCGATACACAGAATTATGTATCTTAGTGTATTCTACTTGTGTGCCAAGTTATACTGAAATCAGACCAAAACTGTAGGAGGAGTAGCATTTTGAAAGAATTTCACAGAAATATCTATTTTTAGTAACCACGGCAACACCGTTCATCGAAATCAAAAACCGATACACAGAATTATGTATCTTAGTGTATTCTACTTGTGTGCCAAGTTATACTGAAATCAGACCAAAACTGTAGGAGGAGTAGCATTTTGAAAGAATTTCACAGAAATTTCTACTTTTAGTAACCACGGCAACACCGTTCATCGAAATCAAAAACCGATACACAGAATTATGTATCTTAGTGTAGTCTACTAGTGTGCCAAGTTATACTGAAATCAGACCAAAACTGTAGGAGGAGTAGCATTTTGAAAGAATTTCACAGAAATTTCTATTTTTAGTAACCACGGCAACACCGTTCATCGAAATCAAAAACCGATACACAGAATTATGTATCTTAGTGTAGTCTACTTGTGTGCCAAGTTATATTGAAATTAGACCAAAACTGTAGGAGGAGTAGCATTTTGAAAAATTGTTAACGGACAGACAGACAGACGGACGGACGCCGGACGCATTACTATCGCATAAGCTCTTCTGGTCTCTGACCAGTAGAGCTAAAAAACTGTACCATCTCTTGATTCTAGAAGATAACACGAATAAGATCATCTTCGTGATATAAACAAAGTATATAAAATCTATTGCAAATGCATTGGGTCTTAATAGTTTTGTTCAGGTTCAATTTTATAATATTGCTGTTTTTTAAATACACCCATTTACTTAAAAATCTTGGACTATTTATTAATTAATAACTTTTTATGCACCTGGATCGATAGATTGGGGCGTATATTGTTTCTGTCCTGTCTGTCTATTTGTTTGGCTGTCTGTCTGTTGTCAACTTTAACTTTCGCCATAACTTTTCAAACATAGAAGGTAGAGACAAAATAGTCGGTTTGCCTTCTCGACATATTACGTTCTTTCAAATGACACTAAGGTCAATGACCTTGACTTTGACAAATATGCTAAAAATAGTTTTGGGAACTGGGCGCATAGTGTTTCACAAGCACATCTTTTAATTTTTTTACAGATCATATGAATGTCAGACATCAGGAGAATTTATAAACTACAGGAATCAAGCATATTTACAATGGGTAATCAGAATGAAGTGGATAATTTCAAGTGCTTTGTAACTTTAAAATGTCACTTAAATATTGTACAAGCATAATTTTTATTTAGATTCAGTCGAAGCATCACCTTTGTTTCGCACGATACAACGGTCCGTGGTGCGTCTGCGCAGTTGCAGCAAGAGCAGGAAGAGATGTCTTCATAATGGATCTCTGTGGAGATAATGGCGTCATCAATTTTGAGCTGTGTGAGGACAATAGTTTAAAAGTGACAAAAATCTATGACATGCACTATAAGGTAATTTTTTCTTCAAATCAATAATTTTAAACCGAGACCTACAATATAATCCAGTCCCAAATAGGCAATGCTGAAATATATTCAGTTATAAAGAGCGCTTTATCATTAAAACTTCAATAGAGAAACTCTTTAGTTTAATACCATATGCAATTAATATTGACTTGTGTACATGCATGCTATGTTTGGAAAAAAAATCTACCGTTTAAAAGTATGTCTCAACATGCAGTTACATATACTTAAGAATTATATTGGAAAATGTTCCAGTCATCGCTCTTTAATGCAAATTATACAAAAACTTTTATACTTTTCTCTTACATAAAACTTCATCATTGATTTTTATTGTACATTAGACATGCACATATATGTAAGAAACATGATTTTTTACTCTTCTGCAGACGGGGCATCTCAATGCGTCAAATGTACAAACATTTCAGCTTTTCATGTAGAAATACTAGATATGACAGATACAAAGTAGTCCGAAATATCGGACGTTTCCTGGCTTTTTTCACGATTTTGATATTTTAAGTGCCTGGAAAACGTCAGAACCGGCGCCATTAAGAAAACTGGGAAATGAGTTGATTTTAGATATACTTTCAAACCGAATTAAATTCCAAGGTCAAAAGTTATTTATAGTACAGTATTTTCAGTACTAACGAATATCGTTTTTTGGGTTCATTTATAAAATACACAATCCGTTCAAGCTTGCAGGTCCTGTAACGAAATTTGGAGATTATTTTCTTTACATCGATATTGGTGAATACTAGAGGCATTTGTGCTTTTAAAAAAATCTGATTTTGGCGTTAAGTTCAGTTAGCACTTAGCAACTACTTAACGACGCCGTCCAATTATTTCTACCCTAGGGATTTTGATAATTTTTCGTTAATTAATTTTTACTGTTATATTTGTTGTTTAAAGATTAAAAAAATCGAATGTTTACAACCCCGATTTTTTGGGGGGCCATCTCAAAACTTGTCATATTTTACTATTGGACCCTATGGGAATTGGATGGAAAAGCCCCAAATTATCACATTTTTTTGTTGTATTTCTGCCCTAAGGATTTTTTCTTCAGTCAAGTATATGAAGCTTCTTTTCAGAAAGTGCAGAACATTTTGCCATTTTTGTGCTTCAGACACGGGCGTCCTTGAGTCCAAGACACTTTGAAAGATCGTTATTTTTTGCATTACTTTGAAACCGATTCGAATTTTGTGTATTTGTGTGCTGACGTCATGCTCAGAGAAGTTGAAAAGCGAGGAGGCGACATAATTCAAGTGACGCTTCATGTGTCGGTATTAGGACCGTTTAAGTGGCGGTAGTATCGTTTTAATGACGATTTAATTGTAGAATAACCACCCCTTGATTCCTCGCGTCTCGGGAGTTAGCTCCTCGAAATAAAGTTGTAATTGGTAGGCAGAGTTGTGACACCAGCTGGTGTCGCTGAATTCCCACTTTTTAAAATTGCCTCTGCTCCGACTCTCCCTTGCATTACCACAGTATAGAAAGCAGGGGTTAGATTCAAAGGAATCTCTGATTAGAGCAGAATATGGCCCCTGTTCAAACGGGAATGCGCTGGGAACCAGGGAACGACACATGTGGGTGCAATGTTATTGTTGAAAACTTACACGAACGATCACGTTCAACGAACGATTCAACACGATTAAACCTGTTACACGAACGATCCTTCGTGTAAACTATTCTACACGTTACACGATCTTACACGTTTGCTAATGCAAACACACGATTCTTCACGCAGTATAGTTCCAAACAAATAGGAATGAATATTTTCAAAACGAAACTAGTGCTAATTGTAACGGGGACCGTTACAGATGTTCCCCAAACGCTCCCCATGTCCCTTTTCGTGCCTTATTCCTCTTAGACCTTTTATAAATATGCTAAGTATCCAAGGATTTCATTTAAGAATATAAAAGTTACAATTATATCAACTATATATCGTTTAACGTTTTGCATGCGCGCACACGTACATGTACATACATATGCAAGATGATTATGGCATGTTGGTTAAATTATTAACGTATCTTTCTATCCCGCGAATCAAAGAAAAAAATACATAAATAAAGTTACCATTTTTTAAGCATATGTCATTTTTTAATATATCGATTCACATTTTATTTCTCTACTTATTTTAACCTCGGGCTCAAAGTTGGTTTTATTCCGACCACAAGGCAGGGTTAAAGTCGACTAAGGGTATCACGCCGATAGCTAACCAATCAAAATGAACTTACTCAATAGTAGTTCCATACATGGAAAAGGGATTTTCCTTTCTGTTCAGATTTTTTTTTTAATATTTCCTCTCAGGCCATTTTGACAACGCTGGTACCTGTGCCTAGTAAATTTTATATACTCTGTAAATAAATATATAAAGGTTTTTGACCGGAACTATTCATTTTTTTCCAATGCATAGGGGGCTACTTTCTGGGGTTTACAAGAGATGTTTAAAAAGACATTCGTGTTAGCTAATGTGACCAATATTGTGTAACACCTTCTTATTAAATGTTTTTTTCATGAATGCAAATATCTGATTATTTTATGAAGGAGCGTACCCGTATATTGATTTTTGATATACCGAAAATCGCTATTTCTGGGGATTGCGTAATTCTAAAAAAAAAATCAAATTTCAAAGGTAAAATAAACAAAGGATGCTTGGAATTAAAATATTATTTCAAATCAGTAGAATTGAATGCTATTAACGACATCTGAATAAATAGACTATAAAAGGCTTATATACCAACTTTGTTCATCTGCACTTTAATTTTAAACACGACAGGATTTGTTATTTTTTTCGTATAAATTAATAATTTCTATATACTTTGGAAACTCAAATCAAATATTTTAATACACTTTCCTTGAGCTTTTTTCTGCAGTTTTCCTGAAATTTTATGTGGGTCCGAGGTGTTATTTGAGTTTAACAGCGATTCTCTACCTTGCCATTAATTTGATTTGTTTGGTTGTTGCTGTGGAGGGGGGTATTTTTATTGTTAACCTTTTTTATGTTCTCCAGTGTAATTTAACTAATTTTACAAGTTCACTGAAGCTAGTTTTTGCACACACTTCTAAATTTATGTGGACCATATCACATCCATATTAAAGTAACGCAGACACAAAGTTTGATGGATGAATTTGTCATTTATTATACATGTATAAATGACGACAGATAATGAAAAGATACATCAGATAAAGGGGAAATCACTCTTGAAAAATTGTGTAAATTTGTACAAAACATTAGTTGATCTCCCCAGTGTAACATATTACATGAAGAAAATCCAAATAAACAATCCAGAATGTAAAAAATAACAATCAGCAAAAAAGGTGGCAGACTAAAACTGCCAAAGTACAAGCATGCAATGTTTGTACACACTGAACTTGTATAACGAGGACATACATTATAACCAGTTTTCCTATTACATGTATAATTAGAAATCAACTTAAAATCACCGAGTACTAATAATTTTGCACATTCAAATCTGACTACTTCATGATGTACTTATCAACTCAGAGGTAGGCACATTTTTTTTTTCTTGGTAACAATTGCAACACCAAGGTTACATATATTTGATAATGACCGATATTAACATGTAAGTTAGAATGTAAGTTAAAAGAGTTTGGCTCAAAACATGTCTACAAAATGCAATTAAAAAAGAAAATCTTTGGTATCACAATACCCGTACTTTAAACCTTTGCTATCACCTATTAAACATAAATGGATAACCACATATGTGTACGATACATGATATTCTCCAAACATCAGCAGACAACTTCTGGCCTAAAGTTGAACTTTACCCAATATACAATTCGTGATAATTTTCAGCAGACAACTTCTGGCCTGGAAGTTGACTTCACCAAACCCACAGTTCATGATAGACCTCAGCAGACACCTTCTGGCCTGAAGGTTTAACTTCACAAAAACTATACTTCATGATAGATTGCAGCCGACAATATGATTTTCAGCAGACACCTTCTGGCCTGGAGAGTCAACTCAACGAATTTCTAAAAAATTAAATCCCACAATGCCTATAAGTAATTGACTTGTCACTTGCAAATGAAAGCTTTCTAATCTTATACTTTTTAATTGCATCTGAAATCCATCTCCCCATTTTTTGAATAGATTTTTTTCTGAAAATCCCAATTTTGCATTATCCTTTGCTGCACCAATTAGAAGCTATGCCATTTCTATAGTTTTTGATTCAGACCAATGACAGATACTGCTTAATTTAGATGTTTATTCACAAATGAATGAGACACTGGTTGACTACAATGAATTGACCACCTAAATTCTTTTAATAAGAACAGATTATGCTGGATCTGCAAGATTTTTTATTTTGTGTATAAACCCTATTGCACATATGTGGGATGAAATGCTACTAGTTGAGTATTTGTTGGCAAATAAATGAGTAAAGAAATTGCATAAAACTATTGGTGAAATAGGTATTAGGCAACTGAAATCGCTGACCAGACTTAAAAATCTTCCAGCTTCATTGACATTAAGATGCTCTTGTGCTGTATGTGATAAAGATGCAGTCAAATTGCTTTAAGCCACTGGTGTTGACATTATCAAGAGATGATGTGGTATTGATGCTTCTTTCTAGAAAAGGTGAAATATTCCCCAAGACTGAAGCAAAATCTACTGACCAAGAGGCATCTGTGAAAAGTGTGAGGTATTCCAAAGATAATCATCGGTAGGAAAGAAGTATATATTTCCCATTGTAATACTCAATGAAATATTACCAAGTGTCAAGAGCTGCCCTTGCTTCGATCAAAAGTGAGAGTTTATTGTAAAGAAATAGGTTTTTGATACCCTCAAGTTAAATTTGATTTATCGCATTAGGAATGCCCTTCCGAGAACTACTTACGCATACAGCACATGCAAAACTAAGCAGACAAATAAAAGACTGCATACTTTCCTCATAAACCTAGTATCATTCAAATTTATGTTTACTTTAAATAATTCAGCCCCAGGCAATCAGTATTCCAAAGCAACAGAGCTATTTTGATAGCATACTTACAAATGTACTATGTAGTTGAAGGAAATGTGTTTTTATCCTCTTTAATTTGGACACGTACAAACACATTGTTATACCAATGCAATATATTCTTGAAATGGGTGTACAAATAAAAAAGAAATTATCTACCAGGTAATATGTGAGATATTCCTCCTGCTAAATAATTTAATGATCTCATCAATTAAACATAGTGCCCTCAGAGTCCTAGAACACCTGAATTTATGGAAACATTTCTGGGATAAGCCAAGGTAATGGATTATCCTAAATTTCCTGGATCTAATTTTGGAACAACACCTTATGTTATGGGGATGACCCGAAAATCATTAAAAGGTTTCTGATTGAAAAAAAGGGGGCCACCTATCCTACCAAGTGAAGAACTGTGTTCCATGTGTTTTTGTATTACCTAACCATGTAATTTACACATTTTCTTAACTAATGAAGGATACTATAATTGATGAGGGGCGTCAGTTGGAAATTTCTCTAAGTAGATACAAATGAACACTTAAAAGGCATTTGTCTATTGTTTACATTAAAAAGGGGTACTTAAGAATTCTACTGTCCAATAATTGTAACTGAAGTCACTGTCCAAGTGAAGGAATTATTCTCATGATTTGGCCAGAAACTTCTTCAATCAATATATAAATATTTACCCAAACCCTTTTATTTTTGACTGAAATTGATGCTCCCAAGGGATGCCATCAGATAAAGAAATGAGATTGTCCATTTTTTTGATATGTTCCCCTGAACATGTACCTTCAAATACACTGGTCACCAATTTCTCCACTGAGGCATCTTGACTTCCTGACACAATGTCCGACCCGTATTGTCCTGTTTGATGTCCTTTCAGTATTTTGAGTAGCTATCGGGGTTGTCTGGATAGTGCTCCGAGTATATGGAGGGGATGCCTGAATAGTGCTCTGTATAGGAGGGGTTGCCTTTGGAGTGCTCGGGGATGAAGTTGGCTCCATAGTGCTGCTAGGAATGGTCATCCTGACTCCTTGCTGCTCGTTGTTGACTGATTTTGTTGTTTTAGTACCTCAGCAGCGAGTCTTTCAAAGTCAATGTTTTTCACCAGTTTTCGACTTTTTTCGTGTGGATTCCTTTCTTGCCATGTATCTTTTGACACCATACACTTGCGTCTCTTTGACATATTTCCTGCAAAAAATCTAAAATGTGTCAGAACATAGCAATTGCCAAGTGTTCAAATAAACTTTCTTAGTTGCAGCAGTTTTAAAAAATTGTCAGAAATAAGTATCAAATATAACAAGCCAAATAAAATGCTTGAATATTGAATGAACTGCTGATATATGATTCAAATTTTTATCAACCTGTATAGATTTGATATGTATGACTAACAATGCACCATATATTGCGACTTACAATGCATACCTCATTTGGTCATCTTGTATACACTATATATGTATGCCTAACAATACACATGCCAGTGTGACTTATAATGCATGCCAAAGATGAAAAATGCATATTAGGCATATGTGTACGTCGACGTAAAAGAAAAGTCTGACTGACAATACACATTAAACAGAATACAATGCACATATATATATCCTTTATGACATACAATGCACACTGAAGTGAGACTTATAATGCATACCCAGATAAGCCTCAACAATGCATACCTTGCATAATATATACATTGAAGTAAAAAGATAATATATGACTGGCTATGCACACTAAGATGACTCACAATGCATATATCATATGTATGACTAATAATGCACATTAAAGTGTGACTTACAATGCATACCCAGTTATGTTTCAACAATGCATACATGAATTATGCAAATATATATGTTGAAGTAAAGAGATATGACTGACAATGCATACTAAGGTGACTTACAATGCATATATATATCGCATGTATTTCTAAGAATGCTAACTAAAGTGTTACTCATAATGCATACCCGGTAATGTTTCAACAATGCAAAATATGCATATATATGTTAAAGTAAAGAGATATGACTAAAAATGCACACTAAGGTGACTCCGAATGCATATATCACTCAAAAAGCATTGTCGAAAAGCTCTGTTCTTGTCTTTGTTTTACCTCAATCAATAAACAATTGTTATAACCAATCAAGACTTTTCTTGGTATGAATTATCTAATTACTTGCATCAAGAACAATAGAGGTAAGAATAAACTAATATTTGAAGATATCCAACATGCCTAAACAAACCTGCTTGAACTCCACTGAAAAACATGCAATAAACAAACCGTATTTGATCACATATTTTGTAAGTTTTTCTTTGGGAAAACTTCCACTACATTTTGAGAAACAAGACATTATCATATATTTTTAATTAGGACAGGGGCTGAATTTCGACCCCAAATCAGCCCTACAAAAACAAAATCACACACATGTATGTCTAACAATGCACGCTAAAGTGCAACTTATAATGCATACCAATGGTTTTGTTTCAACAGTGCATAAATTTATATTTTTGAATTATGCACTAAATAAAAGATTATATAACTTATAGTGTACATTCAAGTGACTCACAATGCATATCGTTTTGTATGACTGACAATGCGCACTAAAGTGTGGCTTATAATGCATACATTATAAACTTGTATGACTAACAATGCACATGACAGTGTGTCTTATAATGCATACCTTATGAACTCGTATGACTAACAATGCACACTTAAGTGTGACTTATAATGCATATATAAACTTGTATGACTAACAATGCACATAATAGTGTGGCTTATAATGCATACCTTTATACATGTATCAACTTATCTGACTAACAATGCACATGACAGAGTGACTTACAATGCATTACCTTAACTTACCAATTTGCACAAACAAGTGGGAAATTTTTCCCTTCATCAATTACAAAAAGCTAAATTATCTCTGCACCCCTACAATGCAGAGCATACTACATGTAGTAAGAACATAAAGAGCATACTAAGACATAGCATGAACAAAGTGTGCATGTCATTTCATGAGTAAATAACTTTTCCTTATACCTGTATTAAAAGCTTTCCATGATATAATGATATTTTGTCAATTAAAAAATGAAATTAAAAGTAAATGTCACTTGACTTGTAGACTATATATAGATCTATCATAAATTTATTATCGGCCGCAGCAGCGGCCGATCTATTTGTGGTTGTGTTAGAAAGTGCACATGGGGAAATGAGATGTTATTATTTTATTAGTTCAGTAAATTAATTTTCAAATGATAACATGTATAAAATCATGAGTAAAATATTTTAGATACTTGCTTTAAATCAAGTTTTAATCGCTGTTATTTTGTTTCAATTTCATTATCATTTGGCATCAGATAATTGAAAATTTATGATTAAATGAAAAGAGTTTACAATAGGTACTCCCCATTCAGGGAGTGTGTAAGATATGAAAGGAAATCGTTATGATTTTCCGGATAAACGTGCACGTGGTAAAAGTGCATGGTGAATAAAAAATTGAAAAGTTGCTCTATAAGTAAAAACTTGTTTGAAAATGCTACAGCTGCGAATGACACAAAGATTATTATTATACATTTTGCACCGCACCAAGCAGCATAGCCTACTCTGCAGAAACCATAGAGGCATTATCACGTGACAAATAATCAGGGAATCAGCACTGGGGGGGGGGGGGTTAGCTCCCCCCACTTTTTCGCAAATATATGCATTATATAGACATTGAAAATGGGCTTTACCATTTTTTGTCGACATAGCCCACCCCCACTTTCGATTTGCTTCCGACGCCCATGCATATTCATCATAGACTTTTTTTACATCGATAAATCCATTGGATGAGCAAATGCACTAAAATTTTTAGTTTAAAACATATTTTATTCATTGAATTGGATTGAACAGCAGGCATGATACTACAATTTCTATCAAATTTTTAAAAATATTTATTTATTTTGCTTTGAAGACAGCCTGAAATGAAAATTATCATTATATCAGCTTTGAATATCCTGTTCTTTTCTTGCATGAATGCTTTGAATTGTGAAAGTACTTTTTTGACATGTTAACATGTTAAATATGTCAGCGGCCGATTTGATGCTTTGCATCAATTAACTTGTTATATTACTGATTTGGAGTTTTACACTGTGACACTAAAATAATATTATCATGGATTATAGGTACTGGAAGAATTATTCATTATTATCAGGGTTCGACACTAACGTTAGTCCGTTAGTCTCACACTAACGAATTTTATGTTGGACTAATAAAATCTGCGCCTAGTCAGTCCGATCGGACTAATTAAAATTACTGCTTGTATGAAAAATTATCTATGTTTGATTCTCGACATTTTGCTGGAAAACCCCTAAATGTATTTTTAGCTCTTTTATGCATGGCGGGAGGTCAAAAGTCCTGATCAAAAAGACGCTTATTTGCATAATTGAATGATTAATATTATGGTAAGTGTTTCAGTGATCATGATTTAGTAGTTTGACACATGGCGCAATGGAGAAACAGAAGAAGATGTCAGACTTTTTTTAAACTGGATACTGACAATGTTAAGAAGCGAAAGTTAGACGTTAGTATTGAGAAAAAAGATCGGGAGTATGAACGGACTCGCAAATCCCGTGATTTCCATGAATCTTTGACATAGAATCACTATAATAAAAACACTATACAACTTATATTTAAACATTTATTTGTCTATAGATAGTTTTCGATGGACCTAAATTTAGCAAAAGTTACTTCCCGTTGGCCGCCATACTGGGGGTCCAAGTATTCATATTCCTTCATTGTTCAACCAATTTTAAATTTTTATATTTGCGATTTTAAATTAGGAATCATTAAGGAATCATTATTTTTCTGAAGTATATAAATATTTGGAAGCCTCCTTTATTAAAAAAAAATATTTAATAAAGATTTTCCAACAAATATTTCTACTATATTTTCTTAAACTTGGTAAGACAAAGAGGAAAACTCACCGTGTCAACCTCCAATATGGCGACGAACGGGAGGTAACTTTCGCTAAATTTAGGTCCATCGAAAACTATCTATTTTTGGCGGACTAATAAAATTACCTGCGGACTAGTAAAAGTTATAGGTCACTAGTCCGGCTGGACTAATGCATAAAAAAGTTAGTGTCGAACCCTGATTATAGTTAATTATTGCTTCCATTGAATATGAATTACATGGAATACTTATGAATTACTAGCCTTGTCAATGGCATGGCATAATACTGCACTCCTCAAATACTCTCTAATTGGAGCTGATCTATGGTTATTACAGGCAATGTGCAAACCATCCGGCTTTAGGTATGACAGGTCCCTCCAAAAATTAATGACAATTAAGAGAGATTGCCCAAGGTTGTCTTCGCAGCAATAATTCTATGATGACACGCCGAATTCCGACTCCCACATGTGATAACGAGCTATCGACAGAATACATCGGGCACTCTGAGGCAGACTCGCGGTGGGGGGCTCTGCTAATGTAATTCAAACCCGCACACTGCACAAGTATTAGTTTTCGTGTCATATATGCATATTAGACCTCCTTTAAACCCAATGTCCAACATGAAAATTTTACAATCCAGATTTGATTTGCACACATCACAATTAGCATTCATAAAGTTCCAAGAACACTCAATGCCTATAGAATATACATGTACGAATGTCCCAGATGGCGCACACTCATTATCTCCTTTGCATCCGTCCTACGAGATGGAACTTCAGTCGCTTCCTAGGCATTGATGGATATACGTATGATTTGACAAATAACCAACTGTTCACAAATACTTCTGTATCGCACTTCTATTTTTCAAATAAAAAATCGATCGCAAACAAGAGTTTCAGTTTGTAAAATTCCAACACTTGGAAAACCCTTCTTACTGCGATCGAATCAAAACAAGAATTGACGTAGAATCTACATTTAGTGTCTCTTCTGATTGGTCGGTAACATTACCTCCTATCGATCGCTCTAATATTGACACAAAATTGAAACACGGATAAAAACGGATTGATTAACCAGTTAAAAGTACAAACTCAAACTTCATTACATGAGTACATAAAATCATTACATGAGTACATAAATGCTATTATTTACAATAATGCAGTTTAACGTTGGAGTTGAATCTTGTATCTTACTCCAAGAACTTAAGATTGATTGTGACATTTGGATGAAAGGTCAGGGTCATTAAAAACCACCAACTCTTTAACTTCTATCCTGCCAACCGAAATAAACTCTGAAAGGTGTTTCTAGATACATGTACATGTACTTCATGTTTCTTTTTACCCTTGGGTCAAGGACAAAGGTTAAGGTCGATTTCAAGTTCATAGGTCAAGGTGATTTTGGTATATAGCTATCATCAACATTTTATCCAGGTTACCAGTGACCTTGACCTAAGTTTCAAGGTCAAGGGTCAAAAGATCTGCATGCTTCAGTATGTTACATGTCTTGACATTTAGAAGTTCTTAATTCTGCATGAACATCACAAACTCAAGTATACTGTCGATTAATGCATTGTGTGCGGGTGCATGTGCATGCACGTCCTTGCATTTACTTTTGATAGTAGTATAATGTAGGCATTCATTATATCTATTCATATTCGAAATTTCACGCTGTATTGTTAAGAACCAAGAAAGTTGTAGGCATTTTAAGTTTTAGCCAATCAGATTGCAGCACACGTGCATGTGCGTGTGTTCATGATTATTTTTATATATCATGCTGTAGATCTTCGTAATGTATGGCTATTTTAAAAATTTCAAAGTATTTTGTCAGAAAACAAAAAAAAGATATTTAGACTTTTAGTTTCAGCCAATCGGAGCGAAGCGCACGTGCATGCGCGTGAGATCTTGCTATTTTGACCATGTCATCATGTCTATACTGCTAATATATCCTTATATTATGAGTTTCAAAGCATTTCATCCAAAATTTAAAACGTTACGGCTATATCTATTATATTAGTCATTTCACGTGTTACACGTGTGCGCACACGAACGCAAGTGCACGCAAAATGACCTTCCTTCCGCACATCTACATAACATACCTAGTGACCCTAAAAAGGTTTCACCTAGATCGGATGAGTAGTTTACGAGAACACTCGCGGACAAAAAAGTACTGGAGAACAAAGAAAAATTCAGAAAAAGTAAAAGCAATATGTTCCCAAACTTCGTTTGGGGAAGATAATAAGGTTTTAAATTTATCAACACTTTTAAATAAGTATTGATGTTATTTCATCGACTTTCAAAAGTAAAAAAAAAAACGTAAAATAGATATTTCGGAAACTAATTAAAACATGTTATACTTATTAATTTTTTTTGATATTTATTTTTTTTTACATGATTCTCCGACTTAAAATTTAAAAAAAAAATCGACATTATGTTTTCGTTATATCAGAAGACATACCTGTAGGTGGACCGAGAGTTTTTATAAAAAGGGGGATTGGGTTATTTTACAAATCATTTATTTGCAGAAATTATAAATTAATTGATAGTTACCTCCAGGGAACAAAACCCCAACAATCATGTCGTGTACATGAAAATTCGCTGACTGTTTAAAAATAATGTAAGCATTAAGAATTAGCTATTTGATGTCTATTTTTGATGCTTTGATTTTAAAATATTTTGACCACAACTAGCAGAAAACATAATAAATAACAGAGAAAGTATCGTTAAACATCCAATTACCGTTTATTACAAGATGTCACAATATTCGACGAGAACCATATACATGAACTGTACGACCTACTATATTGCATATTTACATGTAATAAGTTCGTTATGGTTTCAATTAAGTAAATCACGCTTTTTAAAATATTATTTGGAATAAAAGAAATCAGACAAGCAAAATGCTTTTTGGATTAAAAGGAATCAGACAAGCAAAATGCTTGTTTAACAAAGAACATTCCGATGAAATCTTAGAAAAACGAAATCTACACGTTTCCTAACGCACGATTAAAACCGCAAATGATTGAGTCTGATACACGAACGATCAGGCACGTTATACGGACGATTCTACAAGATTAGTTTGTCAAAATAACGTTGCAGCCACTGTAGATGTATCGGAAACTGGTTTGTACACAGTAAAAGAGTTTCAAAGATTGATGTACTAGTTTTACGATGGAAGAAGCCTTTTGTAGACCTACTAAAATGACAACTAAAAGGGTTAGAGCATAAGTGGCAAAAGCCGCTAACTATGCGAGCAGTTAGATTCATGATTGAAAAATTGTCTATTTAAAGGATTATTTCCTTAATTTATTTGAACTGTAGCTTTTTTGTAATAAATAACTCTATAACTAAAAGAAAATCAAATGCAATACCCTGGTATCGAATTTATGCTTAGAATCATTTTTTTAAGATGCACCTTTCCTGAACAAATCCAAGAACTCCACGAGTGACGTATTGACGTCGTCGGTGTTGCGCGGACAGCTATTTTGAATGATTCCGTTGATCAAAGATAAAAATGTTTTCACTGAGATATTTTATTGAAATTTCTATAAATTATTTAACCAATATTGATTATGTTGCATTCAAATTTTTAAGTTTTTAATATTAGTGAAACAAAAATTATGAAAATTTTGGCGTCTTTCTGGGATAAACCTGGTACAAGGGTGTATGCTAAAAGCAAAGAAAATGGTCTAAAACATATTCTTACTTGTTTCTTTAATTAATTGAGATAATTATAAATACCTTTTGACTTCATTTGCAGGTGCATTTTCCAACCGGAACTACACTTTCTATTTACATAATGGTATGGAGTGGGCGATTCATCATTAATTTGGATATCGTTCCCTCATCTTTGGATGTAGGAAAGGCCGATGGTTTATGTGGTTTCTTTGACGGTGTAAAGGAAAATGATTTCAAAAGAAGGGATAGTCAGATAACAGATAGTATTTACTGGAGGTCTCCAAACAATTTCTATGACTCCTGGAGGTAAATATCAAAATCGTAGGAGAAACATAAGTTTATAAAATAAATTAATAAAAAAAACTATATTGAAATTATGAAATGTAAAACCTTTCACAGCCACTATTAAGGTTTGAACCAAATAGTGTGTATGGCTTACTATACAATCACATATATTTTGGGGGTCAAAGTTTCTTTCTTTCGGGAACACAATGGGATGGTTGGGATTTAAATTCGTGGATTAAGAACTTGCCGTATAACGGGTATTTTCTGCGGTTGGAAATCGGCGATTTAACCCCAAAACGGTATACCAAATAACTTTTTGCGTTTTCAGTTTCTGCACTTTACTGCAGAAAAAATATTTACGGGGTAGAGTATAGGATCATCAAAATCTAAGATTTCTTCGTATGCTGTCATGAATTAGTTTTGTAAATTCATTCAGGCATATGAATGAAAGGTGCATGAGAAGAGCTATCACGCTATTAAAGCTGATTGTAGTTATAGTACTAGTCCACTCAAACAACAATTAAAATCTTTATTCTAACACCACAGACGTTTATTTTATTTAATATATGATACATTAAAATAATTTTAATAAATATATAGATGATAATGCCTCAAAATAATTTATAATACACTTGAAATCAATTGCCATCAAAATTCAATCGGGATTTTCATCTTTAGCTACATGTAAAACAGTTGCATTATCAACCATCCCCAAAATCACACATCACGTGCATTGGGGCGTAACTAATACTGTCAGTCGTCTGAATTGGATGCAATTCACGAGACAATCAAGCAAAATTTATAAACAAGAAGTTATTTAATCACGGTTTCAAGATAAAACACAAAATTGAAAAGTGGAAAATCAGAAAGAAAAACTGCCATATTTTGTTTGCAGCTTTCGGAGTCTCGATGTCACCCGAATTTTCTCGCTAATGGAGACACATCCACGCATGAATTTGCAGACGCACCACTTAACATACTTGCATATATAAAAAATCTAAAGGCTATTAAAAATATTTAGCGATTGTATTTTTGCGGATTTGTCCTATCCGCAAAATTTGGACAACCGCAGAAAATACCCATTATACGGTATATATAATTTGGTGAGTTTCCATTTGACACAAATATTTGTTTTGACCTGAGGGTGCGTAATTACCTTGATCCAAGGCCATGTGTGTAAGTTCAAGGCCTATGACAGAAAAAATTTAAAATCGGTTCATATCTTTCTCATGCCAAAATTTTTATTTCACAAAATGATCTTTCATGGTGCCCTGAAGAGTGTGTCATGACCTTAAACCAAGGTTAATCTTTGGACAAGTTCAAGGTATCTGAAAGAAAAAGTTTTTAATTCATGTACAAATGTAGATTGTTCATGATGCCCTGAAGGGTGTGTCATTACTTGGAAACAAGATTTATCTTTGGACGAGATCAAGGTATATGAAAAAAAAGTTCATAATTTGTGTCCGGTCAATATCATTCTTCTGGATAAACTTCGCGAGTTCCTATTTTACAAATAGATTGATCATGATCTTAGGGTGTGTTATGTCCTTGACCCAAGGTCAATTGCGCAAGTTCAAGGTCACTGACAGTAACAGTTCATTATTCATGTCCGACCTGTATCTGTCTTATATAGAATTATGTTGGGAGTTTCCACTCACTCAAAAGATTGCTTATGGCCCGAGGGTGTATCATGATATTGACTGATAGCTATATAAGCACTGTATGAAAATAGATAATTTATGCGTCCATACCTTCCATTGAGAAATACTTGAAAAATTGTTATTTATTTTTTCAGTGTTATTAAAAACAATGTTTTATAGTATTGATTTATTAGACTGCGCCTAAGATCTTTTTTTTAAATATGAGTAATTATCCATAAATTTTTATTCAAAATATTTAAACACCAATACTAGGTTTAGTGACCTGCTCCCTCTCTGAAAAAAACCAGCGAAGGGTATATGTCCAAACGGTACTGTTTCTTTCGTCTCTTGTAAGTGAAATTAATTGTCCCCTTATGTTAACAATTTAAACTCCCCTTCTCCCAAGAATGCCTTGTACGAAGTTTGATTTACATTTACCCAGTGGATCTTGAAGAATAAAGTGAAAATTTGAAAAGTTTAGAGACGGGCGGATAATAGGGTATCAGGAAAGCTCACTTGAGCTTTGCGCTCAGGTGAGCTAATAATGTGCTATTCGTGGGATTCGAACCCAGGATAAAAAAATCCTGCAAATCATTTTCTATCGATTGATTGTTCATTTCTTGACGTCCCATTCGAGTATTTTTTACTCATTTAGAGAAGTCACCGTATGCCGATGAAGGGCTTCACATTTAGACCTCTACTCGGCACTCAGGGCTGTTGTCAGCGCCTACCGTGATACGGGACCTAGGTTTTTAAGGTCTTATTCTAAAGATCAGTCAATTTCACTTATAATACTGGGTGCTTAGCAAGGAACGTGCACTTTTTATGTTTATGTCTTAGGTTTGACATGATGCGGCAAGAATCGAACCTGAGCTTCCCGATCATGAAGCGATCGTCCAACACTAGGCTTCCGCGACCGGTTATTTTAGCATTCTAACCACTAGACTACACGCGTTATGATGAAAACTGACATTCAAATCATTTTTGCTATGACCTTTTAATGAATGGTATGAAGTATTTTTCGAAAACATGCCAATGTTTCATATGTCATAAAAGTATATATGTAAGGTGCATAGATTACTTTCATGTTGATGAAATAATGTTTATGAAATAATGTATGTTTTTATGCAGACTTGGGGATTAACTTTTAAAACAACAATGGAGCGAAGACCAACATATAAAAGCTCTATCCCTAACCCGTTAAAAGTTACTGTCAAGGTTTGGTTTTTAAAAGTAGGTCAAACTCCAAGGTAAAGGTCAAGGGGTCAACGTTCTTGGTATCCAAAGAAGGGGCTTCTCAAAAGGATTATATACAAGAAGTATGAAAGCCCTATCCCTTACCGTTCAAAAGATATGGCCAAGGGTCAAGTTTTTTTCACAAGTACAGAAATCGTCAAGGTCAAATCTGTTGGTATCCAATGAAAGGTCTTTCAACAAAAAATACATATATGAAGTATAAAGGTCCTGGTATCTACTGTTCAAAAGATATGGCCAAAGTAAAAGTTTGGTAATTTTGTGTAAAAGTGGGTCAAACTCCAAGGTCAAGGTCAAAGTCAAATTTGGTGGTACCAAAAAAAGGTCTTGTCACAAGGAATACACATGTGAAATATGAAAGTCATAGCTCTACTAAATCAAAAGTTATGGGCAAAGTTAAAGTTTTTGCGGACAACAGACAGACAGATGGACAGACACGACAAAAACTAAATACCCCCGAAACTTCGTTTACGGGGGCATAAAAACTTCGTTTACGGGGGCATAAAAATACCCTTATTGTGCTCTTAAGTGTGGGTTAAATTCATATATAGGTATATGAAATGAATCGTTCTGATACTACGCTCCTTCGTTTTCTTTTTGTACGCCTTAACAGTGCTAGAGTAAAAAAAAAAGTTTCATAAAGTCTTTTGATTGGTTTATAGAATACCGACCAATGAGAATCTCCTAAGTCAGGATGGCTCAATTTACAACAACTTGGAATCCTTATCTACCATTCAATTTCCCCGTTGTACGTGTACCGAAAGTGGACACACAGAATGCTCCTACAGGACATTTTTCTTCTCTTATTCAAACAGAGGCAAACAATATAGATGTAATTTTCATCTGATGAATACCAGAAGGCGAAAGCGTGACATATTGAGCAAAAATACATTTCAAGAGACTTTAACGGTAAACAGAATAATTTATTTCATTTCAAAATCATAGAAAAATGATTCGTTTGCAAAGAAGGTGAAATCACTAATTTCGTGGGGGTTAATTTTTCGTTGTTTTCGAGGTAAGGAGAGACCCAAGAATTAATACCACCACGAAATGTAAAATTTAACATGCATTTCTACTAAACATTTTTTCCGACCACGAGTTCAAATCCCCACAAACCAATATTTTTTCCTCGGACTTCGAAAATTTGACCCCACGAAAATATGATTTTACAGTACATTATTAGCTATATTATGCCATAAAAATGTAAGGTTTTCAAACAGTTTTGAACCTGGGTGAAATATTGAGTTTATGACGATGAAAAAATCAAGAATATGGCATGGAGTACCATTCTGAAAATATGGCTTCATTGATTTGATAAATTTCTCTATTTTAAACAGAAAAAAGCTTTTTATATACTGATGGAAATTAGTATGGGAACGCATAATGACGCGGTACTGTTACCTAATGTTTAGCATGTTTCATATGTTCGAGGCTCTATGTAGCTGTTGTTGACTTAAAATGTCGAAGCTTACTCTACCTCAATAAGAAACTTTGCTATTGAAAAATGATTTCCATGCATGATTATGTATGATTTTTCTGCAGTGAATTTGTATGATTCAGAATGCAGGAGTTTTTTTTTTTTTTGAAATCAGTTTCATTTTAAAGAAAACCATAGGGAAATATTTGTATTGAAACCGTACGTTGTTCTTTAAGGACTCTCTCTACGCCAGTTCAAAACGTTTTTTTTTTTTTTTTTTTTTTTTTTTTGACATTGAACAAAACATAATGTATAAAAGTGGTAATATCAAGCTTATAATATCATTTTTCACAATATGGTACGTGGCATTTATCCCCAGGAAAAATGCTCAAACAAAACACAGTATCAGTAAATAGAAAACACTGCCGTTTACTTCCATAGAGAAAATACATGTTAATAACATGTTCAATTAGTTTATCTTGGCCTTTTAAAATGTAAAGAATATTTTGAATTGATTGAAAATTAACTTAGTCATATATTGTAAATTAATTTTTTTTTCATTAACATCTAAGGGCAGATCACTCTAACTGCTAAAAATACCATAGAATTAGAACTATTTAGTGTGCAGTGTAGATAGGGTTCTTAATTTTAAGGAAAATCGTCCTGCATTTTCTTGAATAATCCTATGTACGAGTATAACATTTATATTTATATATGCCAGTTCAAACTTGAAAAATTTTGTTTCAGAGAAGCAAACGTGCAATTACGTACGTGCAAACAGAAGATTATGCCCAGACTGTTTGTTTACAGGCCTTTAATGAATCTATGGAATACAGGATTTGTCAGCAGTATGTAACTGACCTTAGTAATGTCACGTTGTCCAACTGTATCGAAGACATTGAGGTAAATAATACAATAACATTATGAATAAAACACAGTTTGATTTTTTAAAACTTTATAAGCGCTGATTAAACTTTAATATAAGTATTCGACATTTAATATGCATTTGAAAAAGTGTGTCTTGTATATATTTAATTAATGATTTTTCTAATCCTTTATTACCCATTTGAAAAAAATAAAATGTTTAGGTTTCATTTTGTTGTACAATTTTATAATACATAAACCAATTTTAAACTTGTCTTTCATTTCTATTGACGTTAAATAATATATGAACACATCACCCTAAACTAAATACGCTGTAATACAAATGGATAAATACAACTGTTCAATATATACTTTAATGTATTTAAAGCTACATACTATACAAAGAAAATTTCATTTATTTCAATTTTTTTATATTATACTAGTATTAAACAATTTTATAAGACAGTACTTTTTTTGAAAGGGGTTAAATAGAACGTGAAATGAGCAGTTTCAGTTGAATAGCGAACCATTACGTTTTTAAGATGACAGGCCAATATGTGATGTTTTTAATATTGTTTACTATAGTTAACTAAAACTGTCCAAATGGGACAAAATACCCCCGCTGGGTTTTAAAGAGGTGCCAAATCATGAATATTTTATATATCTAAGAGAAGAGACAAATAGCAAAACATTTTTAATGCAAATGTAATTGCTCATCATATTTTTTTATGAATGAAGCGAAGGTGCAGCCTAATAAAAAAATAAAGACTAAAGATATCAGTGACCTTGAACTTGCATAAATGACCTTGGTTCAAAGTCATGATACAACCTCAGGTCATAAGCAATGATTGTGTAAAATGGGAACCCACCACATTTTTCCATAAGAAAGATCGATCGATTGATTGTATATTGTTTAACGTCCCTCTCGAGAATTTTTCACTCATATGGAGACGCCACCACTTGCCGGTGGAGAGCTGCAAATTTTGTCCGTAACTTGGCACTAAGGGCCATTGAGCATGGAGGGATCTTTTTCGTGCTAGCACCTACTGTGACACGGGACCTCGGTTTATACGGTCTTATGCGAAGGACCGGTGTCGTATAGTGAGACTTCCCCCATAGTGAGGCTTCCCTCCTTTCCTATATAGTGAGTCTTCCCCTCGGAAGGCTGGCTATATAGTGAGCCTTCCCCCTGGAAGAATGGCTATATAGTGAGACTTCCCCCACGGAAGTTTCACTATATAGCCGTTCTTCCGCGGGGAAGGCTCACTTTATGGCCAGCCTTCCCCCATTCATAGCGAGACTTCCCCCTCTTATTATAGTTTCCGGAACATTGTTTATTATTTTAAAAAATTCTAACAGTGTTAATTTATGACGAAATTATCTTCCATATATATACATGTATTTATATATTTATTTTATATGCATGAACAGTTTGATATCCATTATAACATATGCATGTACATTGAGATTATATAATATATATAATATGTATACCCTTTCCATTACATGTATTGATAACGAATAATTTTATTAGTTGACGAGTCACTTATATGAAATGTTCTGATTGTTTTAAGCATTTGAATAAAAAAAATTGATAGCATAGTTTTGTTTGTTTGTTTTTCTGTTTTTGTACAAACATTAGCTATTTACACATTAGATATGGTTCAACCGATTTAATAAAAAATGTAGCGAAAAGAAGAAAAATTTATAGTACTTTAAGACTATGCGAGAAATAAAATAATTGTGCTCGAATGTGAAAAATAAAACATGCATTCCAAATCTCAATTATGATTTTCTTAGTTCTTAACTATATTTATCGAAAGTTTCATGTACATAAAGTTTAAATTAATCTACGTTAAGGATAATTTTAAGCATCATTTAATTAATAGATATGCGGAAATGTAAAATTGATGGGAAAATATTTCATTTACTTTATCCACAGGGACGTTTATAATATTAAAGACTTCATAGATCAGTGGTTCGACAAAAATTTACACTACAGTACATAAATCTCAGATTTTTATGAAAGGTCCGTAACTGATCATGATTCAATTTGCTGAAATCACGAGAGAGTCAGTGATTTGAGCGCCGTTGTCGTTTTTCTCCAATTGGCGAAAACCAGTATGCACGCATTTTATAAAACAAACTTTAAAATTATTACAACTTTATATATTAAATATAAGCAGATAAAACCCGTTTTGATAACAAAAAATATTGGAAAAGTAATAGTTCACCGATTTTCTTGAAATAATATATTATTTAACTCAGGATCAGAGGCGCTTAGATTTATTTTTATTAAACACATATATTTCAGAACATATATATGTAATTTTATTTAACATAACTGAGGAATTTAAAATTAAAAAAATACAATATAGGAATGACTAAAATATACATGTTTAATATGTATTTTGCATAATTTTATTGAATATCTCCTCCCCCCTCTCTCTCTTTTTTAGTAATATATGTACATGTATTTCTCTCATTGTGATTTTTTTTCAATTCTGTCGGTCAGTTCGTAATACAGTCCATGTTTTTCGTTCTGTTCCTTTTTTTCATTTTCTTCGTCCGCTGTGTGTTATTGCGAGTTAATTAATTAGATAACTAGTATTAAGAAGGAGTAACTCTTTACAAGTAGGATATAGTGATGTAATTTCATTAATATCACGCAAATTTAATTTCAAAATGAAATATAAATCCTAAAATTACTTCATAAAATTTATAAAAGTTAAAAGGTCCCTAAAGCATACAATAAATATTTAATTATGTCAATGTATATAAAATTCAAACCGAAAACCGAAGGGGGAAGACTCACTATGGTCAGTATGGGGGGAAGTCTCACTATATAGCCATATTACCCCCCAGGGGGAAGACTCACTATATAGCCAGACTTCCGGGGGGAAGTCTCACTATGGCGGAAGTCTCACTATATGACACCGGTCTCCAAGACCCACAGTGGGATTCGAACCCGCAACGTAAGGATCAACTCCTTACTTCGCGACTCTAGAGCAGACGCTCTAACCTCTGTGCAACGCGGGCGACGCCATAAGAAAGATATGGACCGGACACTGATTATACTTTTTTCTTCCAGTTAGATTGATCTTCCTCAAATGACCTTGGGTCAAGGTCATGACACAGCCTTAGGTCATGAGCAATCTTTGTGTGAAGTAGTAGATTCTAATGTTCCTCTGTAAGAAAGATATGGATCGGACACGTTTGCACAGACAGACAGACGGACAAGCTGATTCCTATATACCCCACCCCTCAACTTCGTTTGTGGGGGTGTAAAAATCGTATTCCGTTTGCTTTAAATTTATTATGGATTAGGTGTTCAAAATACAAGCATATATTCAACAGCATTTTTTTTACCGGTCACGGTAGCCTTGTGGTAGAGCGTTCGCTTCGTGATCGGGAGGCCCGGATTCGATTCTCGATCGCGGCGCCGCGTAATACCTAAGACGTAAACATAGGTAGTGACTGTTCCTTCACCAAGCGCTCGGCACTAGAAGTGAAAGTCACGGGTCTTTCGGATATGACCTTAAAAACGTAGGTCCCGTGTCACGGTAGGCGTTGGCACGATAAAGAACCCTCACTGCTCAATGGCCCTGAGTGCCGAGTCTAAATTTCTATAGGTCTAAATTTGAAGCCCTGCACCGGCATACGGTGACGTCTCCATATGAGTGAAAATTCTCTAGAGGGATGTTAAACAATATAAAATCAATCAATCAACAGCATTTTTTGAAGTATTTTTCTTTGATTGTTAATTTTCTTCCTTTTTGCAAAATGGTTGCTCATGTATATGCAATTTTTTAGATGACAGGTGATGACAACCTTACAAAAATTCATGTAGAAGCTGCTTTAGAGCAGTGCACAACCTTCGTTATGTTAAATGCCACACTTCAGGAAGCAGCCCCTGAGGTCACGTATACAGTACAAAATCTTTGTCCAAGCAATTGTAGCAATCACGGAACATGCAGCGGAGGTAATATAAAATTATTAAGTATATTAACTAGTAGTCACATATAATGATCAGTGGAAAATAATGAGTGGAACTTCATAGGTTTTAAAGTGAAAATTCTAGTTCATGATTCAAGTTTAAACTCTATTTTTTGTATAAAAGGAAACTGTACCTGTGATACCGGTTATGGCGGAAGTGACTGCTCGTTTGATATACTGGCTCCCCCTGCAATAACATCAGTACCAAGTGCTGGTCTGTGTGATCTTTCTAGTAGGGACTGCAGTGAAGCTACCATGTTTGGAAAATACTTCGTGGAAAATATGGATTCTCTTTGCTACATCATTGTAAAACAGGTCAGTATTACATGTACCATAAGTTAGCAAATGAAAAACTATATGAAAAATTAAAAAACTATGAAATCACTCATTTTCGTGAGAGGGAGGAGTTGAACTTTGGATGTATGAAGAGACCCACTATGAAATATAATTTTTTCACAGATATTACTCATCAACAATTCTTAAACCTAGAAATATAATGCCAATGATCCCATATTTTTTTCCTCACACTACGAAAATTTGACCCAATATTATTTTAAAGTAATATTATCTTAAAAGTGATTTTCTATGGTGCAGTTTTGTTTTGCTGAACAGAAAATAAAGTTGTATTAAGTATTCATCAAACAATCGTTTTTATGGTCATTTCTCATTTTACATTAAAATAGATATGTTGCAAATTTTGGGGAAAAAAGGCATTTGAGGTCAATATTTTTGTTTCTGGGTTAATACTGTGAACAGGGAAATTATCGCTCCCATTTTATTTTCGTCCCTTTCGCCCTAACCTCATTTGGGCGAATTTAAAACAGGGCGAATTCATATAATACAGTATTTTTATGCATGGTTCGATCTGTTTTGCCGATTTACGAAAACAAATTCATTTTTCATCAACAATTCTACATTTAGGTTGACGTAAACCAAACAACAGTTACAGAGGACCACAGACAAGTGCCGCTGGAGGAGAGGACATTATTTGAGGGATTCTGTCCACATTCTGTAAACAGCTCTGGTTTGTGGATCACAGAGATAACGTTCAACATCTCTAATGACGGACTTCGCTTCACGGATACGTATCAGATTTATCTCTACCAATCTCAATGTCAGGAGTTTCATAATGAATCAGGAAGTGTGTTCTTCGCTTTAAAGGTAAGATACTCTATTGTTATCTTACCCCCCCCCCCCCCCTTCAGTTAGGTCTTCTGGTTTATGCAATACGCTGCAGTAAAGATTTTGTGAAAGTTTGTCGCCTAATGGTTTACATCTATTTAGTTCAAAAGCTTTTCCTCATCTTTACAGGAGAATTTTTGCTACATCGACGGCATATGTGTGCCCTCCATGAACAAAAGCAGTATAAACGAGTGTTTGATGTGTAATGCCACTGTAAGTCGGTACAGCTGGACAGTTTATGAATGTGAGTCTTATTTCCCATATTATTACTTACAAATATTATTTTTAGTCTGTAAAATAATCTTAAGCCAAAAATTTAAGCTGACTTCATAGTCTCTTAAACGTTCGATTTCATTACTTTATTTTATGAAAAGAACTTTTATTTAGTAAAATCAAGGTATAAAAGGTTTAATTATACTTTAGTTGACATACTTTATACAAAAACCTTTTGAGTACAGTATAAAATACATTGACTCGGAAAATCTACTTCAGGGCTCTTGAATTTGATTGTTTTTCTCTGATATGAAGTGTCATAAAACAAGGCACATGGAGACACTAACGCAGAAAAAATTAATTTAATGATTTCAGTTAATCAAGTTTGATAAGCATTTATTTTTACAGATTGTAAACAAGGAAGGATTTCCGCCGACAATAATTCCTCTCCGTCCTCAGTCCAGCTTATGACAATCATCGCTGTCCTGTGTTCTGTCGGTGGATTGGCAGTCATCGTAATCACTGCCACAGTGATTATGAAAACGTGCAAGAAAGTGTAAGTAAATTGCAATAATCTTTCATGAAATATAATTTCCATCTATGAATTAACACTGTGTGTACTATTGAAATTCGTAATTAATTTACTGCTTAAATAGAATTCTATGGCTATTTATGTGCGTTTTTATTAATGAAATATTGATTTGCCAACAAGAAAAAAAAATCAAATATTTCGCATGACATAGCAAAGAAAATGAATATCGATTTTGGAAAAAAAAAATCTTTAAATGACAATTTCGACTTTACAAAGCCAATTTCTAGTCTCCATATATGACATTGAAAAAAAAAGCCTGCAGATATTACATGTATCATTAAATAGGAACAGTGGATATGATTGTTTTCAAAACTTATATAATAACAATAAATTTAAATAAAAATATATACTTTATTATTCAACATATTTACTTGATTTAATACGCAGTTATTTTGTATTTGGGAGGGGCATCAAGGGAGTTTCCCTCTTTTTAAGGATTTGGGACAGCATTTCTTCTATAAGTTAACAATTAATTTTGTTGAGAATTTATTAATTGGGAAAACAACATAGTTGATATCAAACTAAAGTATCATTTAGTTAGTATTAATAGTTTAAAAAAATATTTACATGGTAAATAAAAAAAAAAAAAATTTACATGGTAAATGTTTTACAATCGCCGTTTATTTTCTCGTAAAAAAACCTTTTAGATGACTTTTACATTTTACAGGAAAACAAGGAACCAGATCTTCGATAAGAAGTTGAACAACTGACGACCAAAAATACTTTGTGTGTTGCACATTTATCCAATGTTTAAAATATGTAATATTTATAAATATTTAATAATTATTTTTAAATTAGAATATGTAATATATTAAAATATGTAATTTTTTTTATTAGAGACAAATTATAACACGAGTTAAATAATATCATCGGTATCTTTTGTATTTTACAATATCATAGACTTTCTTTGGACAAATTCACGTCTTAGTTGTTTATTTCAGCAGACTGCTGTAAAAATCATTCTTTGAATACAACTTTTTCTCAATTATTTAAAATTACTTGCTACTTTATCAAAATAGTTACCGTAGTCACAGTAATTAAAAAATGCAGTGTATTTTAAACATGTATGTACATTTACGGTTGTTTGTTGTGGAAAATAAAGTTCGTAGTTTGCAGTTACATGTAAGATCTTTATCTCTCGCCCTTTAACCTGAAGAGTCTGGTTTTGGAATACTTATATGTAACGTCTAGATGGCACAGATTCATTGCACGAGAGTCATTCAAAAAATACGTAGTCAATGTTCCTAAAAGTCATATTATTATTGCAATTTTAGCCAATTTTTAAAGAAACATGTTTTGTTACCACGGACCACGATTAACCAACATTGTAACGTCAAAAACAACTTCGAGAATGTTTGTCAAACTAAAAAAAATTGAATTCATTATAATGTATACAGTGCGGATACAAATTGAAGTTTGTGATTTTTGCTTCATTCCTGAATATATAGAATAATGTTAGTAAAAAAGTTGAAATATACCTGAGGTTAATAAACCTTTCGTTTAGAGATACAATGCATATTTTTGGACATTCCGATTTTCATAGGCGTTCACTACTATTGGGGCCGTTTTGCGACTGTTAACGGTTTAGCCCTCTACTTGAACACTTGAATAAGTCCTCTCTGTACTGCAGATAAAGTCTACCGTCCACAGCAGAAGTTTTCAAAACAGCTGTGAGTTTTCTCAAACACGCAAATTACGATGTTCTTGTCCAACTCTCAATGAACTATTATATCCAATAAAGTAAAACCATTGTATCTAGAAGTTGCTGTGCATTTTGAGACCCAAGAATTTCCTTCCCCCATCTCATATTTTTCTTGTTCCTCGGTGATAACAAGGGCCTGTGTTTTTTGTTTATTATCAAACCAAGTTTAGACAGTTCCTTCATCTTTGCATCAACAATTGAACGAAGATCTGAAAAGTCACTCTCATCCAAGAGAGAAATGAATTTTCCATTAGAACGTAGATGGCGTTGTATTGTCACAATTATTTCATAGAGGGAATTTGGTTTGTAATCAGTAACTTTTAATGTTTTCAGCTTTGTGACAAATTTTGTTTGTTCTTTATTTGTCATTAGCAACAGTGGTTTCTCAATAGATATTTCTTTCTGCCAAGACTCGAATAGACAAACGGCCCATTTAGCTTCATTTCTTGTGTTAACGGGTATTGCGCTTTCCTTAAGATTTTTCAGCTCTGAAAGGTGGGCCAAAAATCTTGCTGTTTTCTGTTCCTTTAACTCTGCTTCTTTAATTTCGGCATTCTGTGAGTAATTGCGTCCGAGTCGTCAAAATTAGATATATCCGAATAATTGGGCACCTTGATAGTTTTGAAATTCAAATCAAAATTGCTATTTTAATCATTGTTTCAGTTCTCGCGGTTCAATATTTCTTCAAGAATATTGTCGGAATTACTTTGGTTTGGTTTACGAAACGAATTCTTTGTAACAAGTTCATTATCAATCCTTACTAATTGACACGACAAAAATGAATGAAATTTTGGAAAATTAAATAATTTTAGAATTCTTCACAGTACAAATGGGCAGCTCGACTTATTACAAAGAAAGAAAAAGAGACCACAAGACCCCGATTCTAGCTGACTTTCACTGGCCTCCAGTGGAGTTCCGCCCGAAGTACAAATCCTTGTATATACCTACCTTGCAGTGTATGGATTTACTCTCGAGTATTTACTGGCACTGATTACTATCCGTAAAACTAACCGTACTCGACGATAAGACGGAAGTTTGCAATTCCTTTTACCGAGGATGCGCACCTGGATGTATGGCAAAAGACAATTCAACTACTCTGCAGCACATTTATGGAACTGTCTCCCGGTGCACATTCGACAAGCCAAATCAATCCACAAGACAATTAGAAACCCATTTTTATGCCCCGTAAACGAAGTTTCGGGGGGTACCTATACAGTTTTTGTCGTGTCCGTCCGTCTGTCCGTCTCTCTGTTTGTTTGTTTGTAAGTAAAAACTTGAACCTTGCCCATAACTTTTGATTTCGTGGAGGTTTGACTTTAATATTTCATATGTGTATTCCTTGTGACAAGACCTTTCTTTGGGTACCACCAAATTTGACCTTTTGATCTTGACATTGGAATTTGACCCACTTTAACATGAAAATTTTAAACTTTTACTTTGGCCATATCTTTTGAACTATAGATACCAGGACATTTATACTTCACATATGCAATATTTGTTGAAAGACCTTTCATTGGATACCAACAACCTTGACCCTTTGACCTTGACCTTGTAGATTTTCGTACTTGAGAAAAAAACTTTAACCTTGGCCATAACTTTTGAACGGTAAGGGATAGCGCTTTCATACTTCATATACGAAATCCTTGTGAGAAGACCCTTCATTGGATACAAAGAACTTTGACTCTTTGACCCTGACCTTTGAGACTGACCTACTTTAAAAAAGCAAACCTTGACCAAAATTTTTAAAGAGTAAGGGCCAGTGCTTTCATACTTTACATATTTGATCCTTATGACAAGACCTTTCATTTAATAACAAAAACTTTGACCCTTTGACCTTTACCTTCGAGATTGACCTACTTTTTAAAAAATTGAACGTTGGCCATAACTTCTGAACAGATAGGGCTAGGGCTTTCATGCTCTACTTAAGTATTCTATGTGGCAAGACCTTTCATTTGATACCAAATTACATAATGACCTTTTGACCTTTGAGATTTTTGTACTTACTGAAAAAAAAACTTTAACATTGGCTTACTTTCAAATTTCACAATTGTTTTCCAGTGAGAATACCCTACTTTTGGTACCAATTAATTAAATTTGCATTTATGAAAAGCATAATCTTTACTATGTTGCCATACGAGGGCATCAGTGTTTCACAAACACATCTTCTTGTAAATTAGCTTTTGATAAACTTTTTAAATTTATCTATCTAGTGATTTCTATTTGTTTTTCTTAACCACTAGACTTTTAAATCATTGCGACTGTATTTTTTTGCCAAAACAAGGCATTTTCAACATAAGTCTAATTATACCCCACGCAACTAGTTGCGGGAGGTATAATGTTTTTGACCCGTCCGTCAGTCAGTCAGTCAGTCAGTCCGTCAGTCAGTCCTCTTTTTTTTGTCAGCGCAACTCCTCATAAACCGCTGGACAGAATTTGGTCAAACTTTGCAGGTATTTAGGACACAATGTGTAGATGTGCATATTACCAGGAAATTCCGATTCCATTATTTTTTCCGGGAATTTCCGCACTTTTTAACTTAGGCATTTGGCCATACCTTGAATATACAGATGAACACTTTGTCAGCACAACTCTTCATAAACCGCTGCACAGAATTTCGTCAAACTTTGCAGGTATTTAGGACACAATGTGTAGATGTGCATATTACCAGGAAATTCCGATTCCATTATTTTTCCGGGAATTTCTACACTTTTCAACTTAGACTTTTTTGCCATATTTTGAATATACAGATGTACAGTTTGTCAGCACAACTCCTCATAAACTGCTGCACAGAATTTCATTAAACTTTGCAGATAATTAGAACACAATGTGTGGATGTGCATATTACCAGGAAATTCCGATTCCTTTATTTTTCCGGGAATTTCCACACTTTCCAACTTAGACTTTTTCGCCATATCTTGAATATAGAGATGAACAATTTGTCAGAACCACTCTTCTTAAACTTTTGTACATAGTTTTGTCAAACTATGCAGATATTTAGGACATATTCCATAATTTTATCCCAAAGAGTTTTGCCTATTATTCAAGAAAATTTCTCCCCCCCCCTTCCACCCCCAACCACTTCAAATTGATGCTTTGTCTTGAATGAATAATTTCATGAGAACATAGTATGTTGTTGTGCGTATTGCATAGAAATTCTGGTTCCATTATTTTTTCCATAAGAGTTTTTCCCTATTATTCAAGACACCCCCCCCCCCCCGGGACACACACACACACTTCAAATTAATGGTTTATCTTAAATAAATAATTTCATAAGTTCAATATATTATCAAATTTAAATGACTGCATCATAATTTTCTTTCCATGAATTATTTAATTTTGTAAATTGTCGCACGCTGAACATCAAATCGAAATCATAGATGAATGAGTTAACCAAAAAGAACGCACCGGAAATTAGTCTGGAAAGGAAGGATAATCCAGTGAGAGAATAAATTGGTAAGTAAGCAAATCAAATTCTGATATATGTCTAGATCTAGCTTATGTACTTAAATTTAAATCATATACATATATAGTTTGTATAGTCCTTAAACATGTTGTATGTTTTATTAACCTGCATTCATTAACATGATGTAATAAAATTGTAAATCCGTAACCCGAATTTCCTCCGTTTTATTAAGAAATAGACATATTTTCAGATATTTACCTGATAACATGTGCACATCTGTTTCTTGCACTGTTTTCTTTCTATTTATCAATCATTTAACTACATTTCATCCAAAAGACTGAGAGATTGGATATGCATTAACCTTATTTTATTTTTCTTCTTCATTTGGATCCACATGATTTCTGCATCAATTTAAGACAAGAGTCAAAAAATGAAAATCTCATTTCGTATTGAATTTATATTATATTATATTATTCAACTCCTTGAACTGACATACACATTTACTTCTATAGTGTATTTACAAATGCATATATTAAAAACTCATTTTCACAATTTCCATAGCAGGAGAACTTTCTCTGAGAAAGCATTGCATCTTATAAATTACAAAATACAGAAATGGCATCCC